CGAAGGCATTAATCGAAATTTAATTACCTCGATGTCGTCGGCCTTTCGCAGTGCGTCGATCCTCCATTAGTCCTCGCACCGCACCAAAAAAGCACTCACAACACCAAAAAAACACTCACAACACCAAAAAAAAAATCACACAACACCAAAAAAAATCACACAACACCAAAAAAGAAACACACCAACACTAGAAAATCTTTTATCAAACTCGAAAATGGATTCCGCGCACTGAAAACGAGTCTTTGGAATTTTTTTCGTAATTTTTGAAATTTTTGGCGAACACCAACCACGGGCTGACCGCCATATTGTTTTTTTCCAGTCACAACAATTGCTAAACAATTTCTAACACATCCGATGACACCAAAAGTCGACAAATGAAAATCGTCACACACTTCCAATAATCCAAATGCCCCCCAACATTCTTTGTCTTATCACAAGCTCACTGCACGATTCACTAAATACGTTATTTCCCTCGGTTTTCTACACGTTTGTCGTCAACACTCACCAAAAAGCGAGGGAACAATGGACTACGTCAGAAGATGACGGGGCGTCGGAAAGCCCACGCATGCGCACAAGAAGCTACGGGCATTGCCATGCGCAGACACTCCAAGCGAATGCGCCTGCGTCTGTTAAGAACGACGCGAGACCGCCAACAATGAATGAATTTCATACGTGTTTGCTAAACCGCGGATATTTTTTGGGTTCGAATTTGTCAGTGGAGAGTTTTAATTTCGTGGAAAATAAAATGGTGAGGATGGGTTTGTGGCGTGCTGTGGAAATTTCAAGTGTTTTTTTTCATTATTGCGTGAATGCGCCATTTGGAATTTACCATTATTTTCGCGCTAGGACCCATAGGAAGCGAGATAATCGCATTTTTATAAATTGAAAAAAAATTATGTAACGCCCTCTCTCTCTTCGGGTGAGGTACTACGATGCCGGGGTGTACCATAAGTGCTGCTGATCTTCCCTATAATCTCTGCTCTCAACGCCCCACAAATATCCTCTAAACAATAAACAATTCTTATTTTGCAAAAAACGTCAACGTCCCAACAAATTTCTTCTGCTGCTCCCGATAAATTCATAAAAGTGTCCACAATAAGTTGAAACAATTGTGCTTTCTTCCAATAAATGACTAGCTTCTCGAAATGTGAGAATAACCCCCCGATCAGAACATTTTTCAATAGTTTGTCGAGATAATCTGGAGTTATGCATAAAAAATGGAGAATAAGGAGTTGAAGATCAATGGGATTTATTCAACGAGTGAAGTAAAACTCCTACATCATCCAATCGGTATTTGTTTTCATGGTTATTTATTTATTAAAATCATGTTTGTTATGAAATCGAAACTTCCTCTCTGAAATTCCGGCAGTACTGATTTTCCAAGTGAATGCATGTTTTTAATTATTTTCAGAGGCCCTAAATAGGTTCCCTGATATTCCAGAAGCAGCTCAATGGTGGAGAGACACAAGTGACCTGGAGGCCCCCCGACCTATGGAGGAACCAATGACCTCGGGGAACGTGCGACGAAATTATGAAATTGAAAAGCTATCAGGGCTGCAGCAGAATATGGAAGTTACCAAGAAGAGAAGAAGAGCTGGAAGCTCTCGAGATGGTGATCAGCTGGACAGCCGAGGAAGAGTGAAGAATCCCCAGAACTGGAAAGTCAATGTGAAGAAAAATGCGAGACTTAGGGGTGAGGCGTACATAGGGGGAGGAGGTAAATCCCAAAAAAATAGAAAATACCTGAGAGACTTACGAGGAAAAAAAAAATCTTGAGTTTAACTCTTCAAACAGAGCTATAACTTTCGAATTAATGATTAATCATCTCCTCCAGGTAAAATAGTACCAGCAAAAGTGATGGGACCCCCATGTGACTGCAGATCACGTTGTGGAGAGAAAGTTGATGAAGAAAGTCGTTCAAAGCTCCACGAGGTCTTCTGGAAGACGTGTAATTGGGACCAAAGGAAGCAGTACGTTGCCCTCTCGGTGAAAGAATCCCCGAAGCATCGAACGAGAGCACGTGGCAAAGATCCAACCGAAACGAGAAGACAAGTGACATTTACATACTCACTCCTAGTCAATGATGAGTGCATAACAGTCTGCAAGCCCATGTTCCTCTCCACCTTCTCCATATCTGAAAAATTTGTTCGTCATGCTATGGACAAGAAAAGGCACTCCCCAGGTGGGATTATTGGGCCTGATCTCAGGGGCAGGCACACACCCAAGACCAAGAAGAGTGAGGACGTGAGGAATCGAGTGAGGGAGCACATCCAGTCATTTCCGACATTCAAGAGTGAAAATCCAAAGGAGAGGAAGCGATACCTCGAGGCACACCTCAATATCGCTTCCATGCACAAACTCTATGTCCAGAAGTGCGAGGGTGAAGGCATTCCCCAGGTTGATATCGTCAAGGAAAGCTACTACAGGGAGATGTTCAAGAATGAATTTAATTATGGCTTCAAACCACCTCCAGCCTGCAATGAGTAAAAGTGAAGGATTTTATCGATTTGTTGGATAATTATGACTCGTTGGTGATAAGTTATTATTTCATTATCATAACAAATCACCTCGGCTTACCACTTCAAAGCAAAATTAATTACTCAAAAATTCAATAGCTTCCACATTGGCCTAGTTTTATTTTATACTATCAACGTAATTGGATAATAATTCTGAATTATTATAAAATTGTACATAAATCCCGTGAAAAGTCGTCTGTAAGAAAAATTTCTTCTAATTTATAAAAAAAAAAAAACTGTTCCAAGTATCTTTTAATTATTTGAAAATATTCTTAATTCTTCCGATTATCAGGATTGATAAACATCAATTGAAAAAGCAAAACAAAAGAAAGGACAAGGATAAATATTCTTAATTACGTTTATAAGTGATTCGACGATTTCTAGTGAAAAAAATATATTGTAATAAAAACTGTTTAAATGTTTTTAATAAAGTTCTAAGTTTTGTAAAATCTAACTGACTCGACAGATCGGCCATGCTCATCATGATCCGATTACTAATATGATTTTTTGGTGCTGAATTCTCTGCACCTGAGTGTTGCAGCCTCGATAGCATCAATAACAGCAGATCTGATGCCATTTTTTTCCAGTTCATGAATAGCAGATATGGTAGAGCCAGCGGGTGATGCCACATCGTCTTTCAGCTGTCCAGGATGTGATCCAGTCTCTCTGACCATCATTCCAGCACCTAGGACTGTTTGTGATGCCAATTTGTAGGCCAAGGGCCTGGGCATTCCCATTTTAACTGCCCCATCTGCCATTGCTTCTATGAACATGTAGACGTACGCTGGTCCAGACCCTGCGAGGGCTGTCACTGGGTCGATCAGGTGCTCATCAACTTCCTGACAAGTACCAACAGCTGAGAATAATCTCTTCGTTATCTCTGCCTCTTCGTCTGTGACGTGTGTTCCACGTGAAAATACTGTCGCACCACAACCCACCAGAGCTGGGGTATTCGGCATTACTCTTATCACTGGAGTCCCTGATGGTAATCCCTGGAGACAATCACATCGTTACAACCTGGAGACTTTTTTCGGAATTTTTATTACCTTTTCGAGGGTTTCAATTGAGATACCCATCGCTATCGACAGGACTAATTTCTCTGGGTCTTTCAGCTCTGGGAGGATCTTAGGTACGACCTGGGGCTTCACCGACAGAATCAGCACATCTCCATGAGTTGCCACTGCGTCATTCGTGTGGACCGTCTTCGATTCGATTTCCTGGAATTTAATTCAAGATCAATAAATAAATTCAACAATCCAATTCTCAGTGTCAAACTCCAATTGAATATTTCGTTCAATAATAATCCAGGGAGAGAAATCTGTTAGTTAATTATTGATTGATTATTCTTGTATTTGAAAGGAATTATTTATTCGGTGGGATTAAACTGAGGATAAATTTGTGGCGTAAATAATTCAGTAATTGTTCAGTCGTTGCGAAAAGATTTATCGAGAGATTAAATAGAAATCGGTAAATGCCGGTTGTTGTCTTCGTAATCACAGATCATTGGCACGATATCAAGCAATCGATCTCCTCATGTATTTATCATTCTGTTTGTTGGTCAATCGTGGAGGACTGATTGATATCTCCAGGGTGTTATGGAAATTTTTTAATCTTTCAACAATTGACAATGCTTTTGATAAGTGAATGTACACATGACCCAGAAAAATTTAATGATGAAAAACAAAACATCGAATCTGCAGGAAATTCTTTGAAATCTTTTCTTAATGATGATGAACTAATTAATATGAATCATTTGAATTTAATTTGATAATAATTGATGACAGACAAAAATCAGATTCTTCAGGATTTTTTCCCAAATATTCTCATAAATGTTATAACATATTTAATTGTCAACTAATTCATTAATTCATTTATGTGAATTATTTGAATTACAATCGGTGATAATTATAACTTGATAGAATTTTTCTCCAATTTTTAAAATAAAAGTTATAAATCCACGAAATTACAACAATTAGAATTTTCAGAAATTTCCGAATGAGTCTCGTGCAAAAACTGATATCAGACGTCAGATTCACGAGCTCTCGGTATCTCCCCTTTTTTTCACGCATCGATAACAAACTAGAGTCAAAGTCCTAGATTTAAATCGAACAAAAAGCCATTTGACGGTTCTTCCGCGTGTGATTAACTTCCACCTGATAAAACCTGATTATTTACCCTGAAAGCTTCAATGCTGCCTTCATCACTGGGAAGACAACTGGCGAGGATCATCTCTCCTTTGCTGAGTCCTAGAAATTCCAAAGATAATTCCAATTGCTCATGAAACTTTTCCCAATTACGATTTTTTTTTTCTGTAACGTATTTTTATTTTTCTTTTAATTCTGCAATTACCGGCTTTGACGAACCCTTTGGCGAGGGCCTGGGCCATTTTTCCACCACCAAGAAATCCGATCTTCAACATATTAGTATCGATGTGTAGAGGAATTCTTCTAGCTTTTTCCTCGATATCCCCCAGCAGCTCGTCGCTGACTGCATCAGAATGATAGAAAAAATAAATAACAGTGTACAAGGGTTTATTGATGGACTGAGGAAAGTCAAATGAGTGATCTCTACCATTTCTCTCGTTTAGTCTTCTCCGGAGGCTCCGGGTTATCTTCATTAACCCCGTAGCACGCAGACCAACTGTCATCTTGAAAGATTTCAATTAATCGTTCGTTCTATCAATTTATGTGCTCACCTAACTGGTGGTTTCTGAAAGAACATAAATAATTCATAGGCTTTATTCACTAATTATAATTAATTTAATTCCATTTATTTTTATTTATTGACATTGAAAAATTGTGCAGCAAGTGCTAAACTGGGAGAGGTGCAGATTTTTTAGGTCCGTTTTTACTCATTATCTTGGAATTGAAGGGATATAGCGTATTTTTTGTATAAACATTTTTTGCGGAAAAAGATTAGAGCTACAAAAAAGGTATTCATGAAAATATCATTATCTTCCTTCGATTTCGAGAAATTGACGGAAAACTGGACGTGCGAAAAATGCACTCATCCTGGTTCACGAGTTTGTAACAGAATTAATAAAAAATAGATCAGTAGATTAATAAATAATCTTCTTTCAACATTTCACAGAAATAATGATAAAGGAATAATGTTTGATAGATTGCAAAGAATTATTACGTAATGTAATTGCAGTGGGTGAAAATCCGTGAAAGTAATTGAATGAATTGACGAAAAATATAATTTACCTGGATAAATCTTTCAGAATTTTCTCTAGCCGTTTGTTTCTTGAGTGCTGAGTAATCGTGAATCCTTTGTGTATCGCCCATAAGGAAGAGTTCCTCTTCCTGGATAGTATCACCAGCAGATTCAGTACTGATTGCTTGGTCTGCGTGCACCTCCTATATAGCTCCAGGTGAGCCCGAGATTCGTTATCTCGGAAATCTGGCCAGTGGAATTTTTTCGGAATGATTCAATTCCCATGATGATGATGTATCGGTGATTTTATATATACCTGAGAAGTCATTAAAGAAATTCTCTTGCTTCTATTGTTTCCCTGTAATTATTTCCCTGAAAAATATATTAATTATTAAAATTAGTAATTAATTGAGGCGAGAGACCCCCAAAATCAGGAATCAGTCCCCAGTTGAAGTGGTGGGAAAAGAAAAACCTATTTCTCATTTGTTGACTGGACTGAAATTTTTTATATAATTTAGGGAGTGAGTACATGTGAGATTAGTAATTAATTAATTAATTAAAGAATCAAATGAAAAAAGGCACTGCCCCCCTCAAAAATGATAAATCACACCGCCGGGCGGGCAGGGGGTGAGGGATTATGTTATTTCCCCTTTTTTGATATTTTTAAATATATTAATAATAACATATATGTTATTATTTATTTATCAATAGTTTTTTTACGGAAATATTTAATTTTTAAAATAATGTACAATTAGATAATAATATTTTTTAATATCTGTGACTACTTTATTTTATGGCAAAAGTGGAAATCGAATGTCAAAAAAAAAAAAAATTGAAATTTCAAAATAAAAAATTTGATTAACAAAAATTTCAATCCTTTAAAACCACCGGAAACGCAGATTTCTGAAATATCAGCTGATAACAGATCTTTGTTGGTGATTTCTTCCTTTTCTCTTATATAACTCCCTCTCTGGCCCATGAGGCCCACGACGTTTCAAATTCCCTCAAAAAATCATTAAATGATTCATTATCTTTAAACATTTCCATTCACCATTACAATTATATTTTCTATACTACAATAATATTTCTTCCGTAAAGTAATTACGAGTAATTATTATTAGTAAAAGCACTTGTTGGAAGGGGAAAAGTGTAAACAAACACCGGCGACACCGGCGACACTTGAATGAGCAATTGTTTTCGAAGAAATGACAATGAAGTATTGATGGATTCATGAATGCACGTAAAATTTATCGAATTCCACGATAAAAAAAAAAAAAAAAAAAAACCCTGACGATCTCTCGTTCTAAAATGAATGGAACAACACCAAAATCAGACCTGCCAAAAGGGAAGAAACGTCTGTTCTTGAACAACAACAGCATGATGGAATCTCCAGGACAATCGAGTGCTGCAGTGTCTCCTGGGGATGGCTTCAAGGTATTCGTGAAGCTAAAACCTCCGCCAAAAGGTTTGAAACTCGTTCCCTCTCAGTTAAAACTGTACCAGATATTCAAATCATCAGTAATCGTGAACCTAGAGGACGCCCAGCAGGATCCAAGCAAGAATGTTGATGTCGTGGGTAAAAGATTTCAGTTTCAAGAAGCCTTTGGGGGTGGTATCACCCAGAAGGAGGTCTTCGAACGGGCAGTTAAACCCCAGGTGATGAATCTCATGAATAATCAGGATGGAGCAGTGATGGCCTATGGTTCCACGAACTCAGGGAAATCCCACAGTCTTCAGGGTCCACCCGCAGACCCAGGGCTCATCTTCAGGGCTTTGGAGATGATTTTCACCCAGATCGAACCCTCGACCGTTCCTAATTACAGACCAACGGGCTACAACACCGTGGAAACCCTTGATTCAGAAAAAAAAAACTCAACAGCTGCGCTGAAAAAACGAATCCTGTCACCTCTACGCAGAGACCAAGTGAATCCATTCTCAAGATTCTTGGAGAGAATAGCAGATTATTATCCTGGAGGATTGAGGCTGGGGCCTCAGCACGAGGTTTGGATGTCGTGTTTGGAGATACGAGAGGAAAACTACTGGGATTTACTGCTCCCTGAGGATGAGAGGACCTCTGAGCCCCTGGAGTTTCATATTAATCCCAAGGGACAGACTTTCGTCAAGGGGTTGACACATCTGCACGTGATGTCAGTTGCCGAAGCTCGTGATGTCCTGGTAGTTGCAAAAATCAACTCGAAGAGATTGAATTCCATGAGATCCAATCCGACGATATCAACAATAAAGTCTCACTGCATCTTTAATGTTATATTGTTGAAGTACCAGGAGATGAATAATCCAAGGGGAGTGCAGATGAGTAGAATTTCGTTCTGCGATCTGGCAGCTCACCAGGAGTCTCCAGTCATCGAGCCAAGTCTACTAGCTCTCCTGAAGTCCCTCAGAGCTCTCTATCTACACCTGGGATTCTCAAATAAATCCCCAGAGTACTTCACTCCCTCCAAACTCACTGGACTCTTCAGGAATCCACTAACAGGCTCATCATCGCTCTCCTTGATTGTTCACGTGAATCCTGACCCTGGTGCCTACAAAGACACCCACGCAGTTCTGCATTCCACTGCAATTACAACAGAAATCCTGACAAAAGTCAGGATTGTCAATCCTCTAAGGGTCAGGACGTCCTTAATTCGATTGGGCATTGACGAGGACTTCTCCCACGATGACAACCTGACAGCAGAGAAAGTGGAGGAGCTCCTAACGTCTTTCAAGCTTGAGCAGGAATTTTATAGGCATTTGCATCTGAACACTACCATCCAGACCACCAAGATGATAATCGAGAAATATACTTTGATGATGAATAAAATAGATAAATGCATCAGGAAGAAGCTGGAAGCAACACCTTCTGGACAACCTGAAGATCCAGAGGTAGTCGAGACTCGAAAGACATGTGTCGATAATCTGAAGAGTATTTTTCAGTACCTGGAGGAGAATAAATCCTCAAAAGAGTTACGACTGGCTGATGATGAGGAGGAACTCAGGGAGATATCCTCTCGTCTACCCCCAGGATTCGGAGGGAGCATCCCCGAGGGGGTAAACCCTGAGATTTTCTGCCTCAGAATGATCCAGAAGAGGAAGGACCAGGACAGGAGGATGACGGATCTTTCTAAATCGTTGAATGAGGCTGGAGATCAGCTGGGAATTGTTCATCGTGGGCATTTAGAGATCGAGAGGAAGCTGGGAGAGGTGGAGAGAAAGTACGTTGGATTGAAGGTTCTGAATGATATGGATGGAATAATTAATAGACACGTAAAGGATTCACAGAGGCGAGAGGATAGACTCCAGGGGCTCAGGAAAATGGAGGACAAGATGGAGCTGCAGAAGGAGAGACTGAGGATTTATGGGAACCAGTGGGGAATTTCCTTTGATGATTGGGTGGAGATGGAGCAATTGGGTGAAGATCGTCGAGATTTTGATGATGAGAAAGCGGCGGAGTCTTCTGGGGATGGTCGTCTTCAGGGACTAGGTGCTTTAAATGAGGACTTGATGGGGGGGAGGGCTGAGCTCTCAGATGATGTGCATGAAGGAATTCTCCAGGAGTTGGCGGCTGAACTTGAAACTCCAGCTGGAACTGGAGATGAGACTGATGATATCGTTGATGAAGGAAAAGAAATTGAAAATATTACTTCTCAAGGTGCCGTTCGTGATATCACAGAGGGAGAAGAGGCAAATGGTTCCAATCAAATGCATCTGGAGGTGATGGAAGAGCTGGAGACTCGGCTCGAGTCTTTCAAGCAGGTGAATCAAGAGGATTTGATCACCACTTCTTCGATGGGCATTCATGAAGCAAAAGAAGAAGGTTCTGAGGTTTCTGATCGACAGGAGACAGGCTTGGACACCTTGGGAGCAGTTCAAGGAGTTGATGGGTTTAATGGAGCAGGAGTTCATCCTCCAGGTGCAATCGATGGCTTCACAGAGAGAGGTAATTATTTCAGTGACATGCAGCTGGAGATTATGGGAAAATTGGAGATTGGACTGGAGTGTTCTAATCACTTGGATACACTGAACCACGAGATCAACATGTCATCAGAAATTGGAACAGCAGAAATCGAAATTTCCACTGAAATTAATGAACAATCGATAAATCAAACCCCAAAAACTGTTATAGATCATGTCGTCAGATCATCTGAGTCTAATGCAGCAGGCATTCCTGCTGCTGAAGAATCATCGTCTTCTGGAGCTTCAACTTCAGCTCGAATTCCTCATCAAGGACCTGGAGATGTCCAGGAACAGCTGAAAGAGTTGAAGAGTCTGTGTGGAGGAGATAATTCTGTGAGAGACGTGACGAGAACAACTGAATCCGATCCAGAATCTCCAAAATTCGTTCCCCAGAGTGAACTCGATGTCCAGGACGTGGAGAAACCCCTGAAGAAATTCAAAGGTAAAAAGAAAGATCATTTATCCCTCGTTGGATCCAGCCAGCCACCTGTCAACAATCGTGAGTTCGAGGAATTATTCTCAAAGGATGAGGATGAGGGCGAGGATGGCAGCATTGCTCAGACGAGAAGGAGTAAAAGGATTCAAATGGCTAGTCTAAAAAAATCCAGGCTGAATTACGCGGACGAAGGAAACATCCCTTTGAGGAGGAGCGACCGAAAAAAAACTCCAACTCGACGATTCGTCAGCCCTGAGGTGTCTTTTGGCCAACGAGAGAAGAGAAATGCCGAATCTCCACCTATTTTATGTCATAAGTGCAAGATCTATATCCTCGATGGTCGTTGCTATCGCTCTGCACTTGGAGCAACGAAATTTGAACTGTGCAATGAGTGTTTTGGGAAATATGGGCATGAGTACACAATTAATTTCGTGGAGATATAATTATTCGGGGGTTTTTTTTTTCTGGGAGTTTGTGCTTTTTAAGTAATGACTTTTTTTTTTTTTTTGAGTTCTTTCGATTTTATGACACGTTGAAAGACCGGGAAATTATTTTGTAAAATGTTTCCAGTATATTCTCAAAGATAAGAGATTTTTATTGATAGGTTTTCGACATTTTAAAGTCGGAATCAATTTTTTTTTCTGTTTTCAATTTTTTTTCATGTTCTGAATATCCTATGAGAATTATTCGAATCGATAAATAACTTTTGATTTTGATTTTGTAACAGAGAATTGAAAAATAAAACTTTGTATTTTTTGAAAACTGCAGTTCTCGAATTCATTTGAATAACATTTATTTCAATTCTTAAATTATTGAATTATTGTTATTGTTGTTTTTTTTAAATAAATAAATTCGTCCTGAACCCAATCCAATATCCAGTGGTTCTCAAATAATCAAAATATCCTCTAGAAAACCCCTAGAAAAGGAACTAGCTCCGCTATTGACGTCACAAAAAAAGAGAAAAGATAAAGAAAAGAGGACGAAAGAGGAAAATATCAGCTGATTCCGTGATTGAGTCATTAATGGGCATATGTAGGTGTGTTAAAATAATAAAAAAGGTGTGAAACAATTGACATTTGTCCCAGTGATAGACCAACAACTTGTCAAGTGAAAATGTCGGGGATTGATCGAGAAAATTTTAACCAGATGTGAATGAATCACAATCAATCATGCCTGGAGAACCTCCGGCATCGTCTGCTGGAAAATCCAGTGGAAAAGTGAAACGCATATCAATACCTCGTGTCCAGAGCAGTACAGACACAGAATTTCAATCGCAAATGAGTCAAAGTGGATCAACACCACTTCAATCAGTTTCTCTGCATTATATCAATTTTAGAACAGACAATGAAGAGACATCAATACCACCAGTGATCCAGTCACGATTGCTCGAGCTATTTCAGCAGATACAGAAGGAATTTGAAATGATTTGTCTGGAGAACATTGGCTGTAAGAATTTCATCATCTTAGTTTGAAGGTTTTTTTAGTTAATTAAGATATCTAATGCTCTTCAATTGTTCAGACTTTTGAGACACCTTGTCTTCGCCATTTAAAGCCTCTGATTGCAGTACAGGAGAAGATTGACAGTCTCAACGAGAGATTGGAACGCGAGTGCTACGGGTCTGGTGAACGTAGTTTGCCACCTGGTGATTTCGCTGATTATCAAGGAGATACCAAGAGCTCCGTTAAACAGAAAGGTGACAATTGTTATGAATAAATTCTATTAATTTATAAAACATTTTTTTTTTTATTGAAATTAATCCATTTTCCATTTTTTCAAGGCATATTGACTAATTATTTGGAAATGGTTGAAAACACGGAAAATTTATTTTGTTTTCAGAGCTCTGATGTTAATATTTTCAGATTTTTCAGAATGGAGTTTTATAAAATGATCTTTCATCTTCAATATTTATGGTTTTTTAATATTACAAATATTTTATCATGAATTTTGGAGAAGAAAACTGAAAAAAATTGATTATCTCCCTTAGTTTTCACTATTTGAATTGAAAATTCATTAGCCATCTGCGACAGTTGTAAATAATCAACAAATAGTTTCGAGTGAATTATAATTTGAAACGAAAAAAATAAATAAATCCCCGAAGTATAATTTTTTCTTCATTAACAATTTGAAAATCCTCCAGCGCCGATAGTCTCATCAGCGCAGAAAGTAAAGACAACTCACAAACTGAAAGCCCAGACAAGTAAAATAGTATCTTCCTTCAAGAATCCAACGATGTCGTGCACAATGCAGCGTCAGTACCTAGGTCACAAGGACGGTATCTGGGAGGTGACAGTTGGTCGTTCAGGTCAGCCAATAATAGCAACAGCATCAGCTGATCATACAGCCCGAGTGATGGCAATGGAGACTGGCAAGTGTCTCCTCCAGTACATAGGTCACACTGGCTCAGTGAATTCCGTGAGATTTCATCCAACGATTGATCTGGCTCTGACCTCCTCCGGTGACTGTTCAGCTCACATATGGCAGGCGGCTGTCAATTGGGATGCACCACTTCGCCAATCGTCTTCCGAGGATCTCTCCACGCTGGACAGAACTCCAACAAATGCATCAGCTGTTGATGACCAGGAGGAGCCCCCAACCCTCAGGACACCCCTCAGGGAACTTCTAGGACACACTGGTGTTGTTATGGCTGCTGACTGGCTGACAGGAGCTGATCAACTCGTCACAGCATCCTGGGACAGAACTGCTAATCTCTATGATGCTGAAACTGGTGATGTCATTCACACACTTTGTGGACACGATCAAGAATTGACTCATGTATCCACACATCATGCTCAGAGACTTTGTGTCACCTCCAGTAGAGACAGCACTTTCAGACTCTGGGACTTCAGGGAACCGATTCACTCCGTCTCCGTTTTTCAGGGACACACTGAGTGAGTTTTTTCATCTTTTATACTCTTTGTTTCAATTACGTGGAACTGCTCGAAGCATTTGGGGAATTATCCATTGTTATTGCTTTAGAATAAAAAAAATTAGCATTGATCATTCGGGGATTTAAATCGTTCCAGTTATTTAATATTGAGAGTATTTGACAGAAAAATTATTTGAAGTGACGTCGATTCATAAGTTTTTGAGGAATGTTTTTTTCTCTCAAATCTTTTTTTTTTTTTTTTTGAAGGAAGATGAACAATTTTTCCCAGTCAATAATCAAATAAATAACGGGGAATTGGATTTGATGAAGACAAATGGAATATTGGACTCTAAAAAATCTGGCAGACTTATAATTTCAGCTGCAGCGATACCCCCAATTTTTTATCTCGAATTTCTATCCTTTTGCGGTGAAGTGAGGATTATTTCCTTGTTCTCTGATTTCAGAGCCGTGACTTCCGCAATTTTTACGAGAGAGGACAAAATAGTCTCGGGGTCCGATGACCGAAGCGTCAAGGTCTGGGAGTTGCGTAATATTCGCAGCCCATTGGCTACAATTCGTGGAGATAGTGCTGCTAATAGACTGGCAGTATCAAGTGCTGGAATTGTGGCAATACCCCATGACAATAGGCAAATTCGACTGTTCGATTTGAGTGGTCAGAGGCAGGCGAGGCTTCCAAGGACCAGTAGACAAGTAAATAAATATTTTTTATCTATTCAGGACAGATAAAAACTGAAAGAAAAAGTTCTCCAACTCTTGAACTGTCCCTCCAAGCTCTTCAAAGAAAAATCCAATTTTTATCAACTGATTTATTCAGCACAAGTGGAAGTTCTTGGAGATATCTGCTGTTCTTTTAATCTGGCATTGGTATTTACAGTTTATATTAATTTCGTTTATCAGGGTCATCGCAGGATGGTGTGCTCGGTGGCCTGGGCAGAAGATTCAAACGCATCCTGCAATTTATTCTCCTGTGGATTCGACAGACTAGTTCTTGGCTGGAGCGTGCTTCCTGTGAAAGATGCTTGAACCTCCATCCTCTACCCCATAACTTCATATCACAATTCGTTGAATTAGCTTCGAATATTATTCTGTACTAGTGTAACGTTCTGGCTAGCTGATGGCAGCCACACCCAAGTTGATACGTAATTATGCGCCAGTAATCCAGCAGCTAAACCAATCAGTGATCCACCTCTTCCGCTCTCGCAGACAACTAGAGTAAATTTTCAAAAATTCAAAATTGTTAAATTAGGGTAATTCAAAATATGTGTAATATAAGAATCAAAAAATCATATGATCGAATAGATATGTTCACTCTATTTATCATTATTTTGGATTGTACGTTGAGAGGAATGATCAAAAATACCAGAGAATTATCGAGGACAAATAATATAATAATTAAGAGGAAATTTGTCTAGTCGCGTTTGTAGAAAATTTTGCACTGGAATAAAAAGACTTTGGAGTTTTTTTGAAAAAATCAATGACAATACTGGTTAATTATTATGCAATATTGCTCCTCCAATTCAATTATCAAATATTATTTATTATCATTATCCATTAATTATCCTTTTCGTTAAATTAACAGATTGATTGAATTTTCATTCATTAATCAATTTTCCCAGAATCTTTTGTTGAATGATTTTCAACAGAATAAAATTTCACGAGTAAATGCAATTAATGAGATACTAACCTGAATAAGCTGTAAGGAGGCAGAGCATAGTGTACCCATGGATGAGAGCATAATGAAGATCATGAGAGACATGCTGCCATACAAGCCCAAGAAGCCCCAGGAGTTTAGCACATCCACCAACGATGAGAGCCCGAACTAGATCAGTAGCTCGATATTTTTTGGGTCTCTGTGAGAGTAACCACCTGAGCTCAGTCCCCAGAATGACAGCTGCAGCGAAAAAACCCAGAGAAAATCCAGTATGAGCTACCAGGATGGAGAAGCCACTCTCCCCCTCGAATCTGTCTGCCTTCAGGGGCTCGTTGGAGCTGTCGTGCGTCGCCCACACCCTGTAGGATTCACCCAACAGGAGGACAATCATCAGCTTCCAGTAGGACTCGAATTCGCTGTTGTACAGGAGATGCCTATACGCTGGCTTCTCCAGCAGCACCAGATCCACGAGAACTATCACCGGGTCGTACTCTATGTATTTGTCTGCCAGGCTTCCACAATTTGTCTAGAAAATCATTTCAAATAAAATAATTACGCCAGTCCATTAATCTCGAATTTTCAATCTTCAATATTTTAATTATATATTATTTATTTTAATTAATGAGAGATATTTTGGGAGAATCAGAAAAATTGAAAGAACAGTTCTGGATTTTTAAAATAAATATAAGCCCTTGTTAAATATTATTATTACACTTACGCATTTCAATACCTTGAGGACACTTGGACTGTACCTCCTGTACAACTCCTTGACCTCAACTCCGCAGTTAATACACGTATACATCCTCATGTATTTTTCTGAAAATAGAATTAGAAATAGGTGAAGAGGTGGATGTGACCTTCGAAGATAAGTGAATGCTTCAAGGTACGCAGTAATAATTACGTCCAACGGGTATTACAGCCAGGAAACAGAAAATTTATAAAAAATATTCTTGTCCCCCTCCTCTGAGGTATTATTCCGGTGAAAGCCTGCGGTATTATAATCTGTCGAGCACTGGAATCTCGTCAGTCCTCCGCTGTCTTCCTCCGTTTACTTCTTGTTCCAAATCAAGTGATAATGGCGTCGATAATTAATATCGATATGATTACAGGCCAGAAAATGCCAGCTCTGGGCTTTGGCACTTGGCAGGTACGCGAAATTAATGACCTGAAACAATTAAATGAATTAATTACTCTTAATTCCCTAATTAACCATCATTACAATGATGAATTGATTGTAAATTATTATCAATTAATTGTTGATTCCTCTGGGTGGACAATTATTATAGAAATTCTTTTAATTGAGGAGATTTTTTCGACATGTTGGATATTTTTAAGTGGAAATAATGTTGAAGGCTTCTGAGGAAGAGATAATAAATGCTATGGAGGCAGCTCTAGAGGCGGGATATCGACACATCGATTGTGCCCCGGTGTATCAAAATGAAGAAGCGATTGGAAGAGTCCTGAAGAAGTGGCTGGACTCGGGGAAGATCAAGCGAGATGATCTGTTCATCGTAACAAAAGTAAAATAACATAATTTATTTATTTTTATTATTTATACAATCGTATCTCGACAAGTGATCGATTGACGATTACGGTAACTACTGATAATTTATTATCATTCTACTCATATGATTAAAATTGAATGGTCCATAAGTTGTTGTTGAATCAGTGAAGATCAGATAATTTTTTCAGCTGTTATAATTTGATAAATTATTATTTTGTAGCTGCCACCAACGGGCAATCGTCCTGGGGGTCCCGAGAGATATTTGAAGAAATCGTTGAAGGATCTCCAGCTGGAGTACGTGGACATCTATCTGGTCCATTGTCCTTTTGGCTTTCAGGAAGCTGGGGATGATCTCCATCCGACTGATGACCAGGGAAATTGTCTCATCGACAAAAGTACAGATCACGTCAAGGTGTGGGAGGACATGGAGAAAGAGGTGGCCGCTGGGCGAGCTAGAGCTCTTGGTTTATCCAATTTTAATATTAAACAGATTAAACGAGTGATGGATGATGCGAAAGTACCTGTGGCTAATCTACAGATTGAATTACACGCGTACCTTCAACAGGATGAACTGGTGAGATTATTCAATCCTTTATTTATTTATTCCATTGATTTATCATTATTAAATAAAGCTTTATATTTTTTTTTATTCAAATTTTTTGTTGACTTCACTTTTTCAAAATTTCTCAATAACTCATTTTAATTGAATTCTCAATTCAATTAATTTATTTTTATTAGGTAAATTTCTGCAAGTCAAAGGGAATAGCAGTGACAGCATATTCTCCTCTGGGATCTAGGGGATTGGTACAGCTGTTGGGAAAAACTGAGACAATCTCCAACATCTTGGAGAACAGTACAATCTTGAGAATTTCCGAGAAGCACCAGAAAACTCCAGCCCAGATTGCCCTCAGGTTTATAATTCAGAGAGGAATTGCTGCCATTCCAAAAAGCACAAATAAGGACAGAATGAAGAAAAATATTTCTATATTCAGTTTTGAACTCGATAAAAGTGACATGGAGGAACTCAGAGCCCTGGACCAGAGCCCCAGTGGCAGAGTCTGCGATTTTTCATTCATGAAAGGAATTCGTAATCATCCGGAATTTCCATTTTAATTCCCTTCACTCAAATTTGAGAAAACCATCTGTTTATGAGTCACGAATGAGTCATAAGTTAATAGAAATGTTTTCGAGAGGTTTCTACGAATCTAACATAAATAGACACATTATGGTAATTACATTTTTCGTAGATCTCATTAGGTTCTACGAAAAAGGTTTTAATGAAGATTTTTATAGCTCTTGAAGGTTCGGGGATATTCATCGAAAACGTGATAACAGAATAGATCGATTTATTGTTTATTATTATTATTATTATTGAGTGGTTTTATTGTTATTAAAAAATTGAATACCTGTGGGTAACTGAGGAGAGACTGGGGAAATTGTTTTGCGGGGAGTTTGAGATTTTATTTGACTTGAAAATGTTGATTCAGGTCAATGAGTGAAAGCGCAATATTCGAGATGATCATTTTCTCTTCAATTTATTCGTTATTTATTTTTTTTTGTTGTATTTACCGTTATCAGCTGATCCGCGAACCGTTACTTATCAGAAAAAATGTCTTCTTCAATTTTTCGTGTTTAAACAATAATCCTTTTTATTCACTAGTGTGTGGGGATCGATTTCAATTATTACTCCAGCATTTTTCATGTGGAACAACGAAAAATTATCTATTCTCTACGAAATGTTATTGTTATTGTCGTTATTGTTAACTTAAGGTTATGTTGATACTAATTTTCATAAATATGGGGCTAATCTCCATGGACGACAATTTTATCAACAATAATCGTAATTATCGTAACATTACTCGTAATTAATAATATATTTCATGAAATTTTGATAAAATAATAACAATAATGATGTACAACAATTCCACAATATTTTATTGACAACTAATTCATTTATCATTGCTATCCTTATCAATAAAATATTCTATTGCAATCATAATAAACAATGAATATTAAATATTATCATTAATAATAATGATTATGCGGTATTTTATAATTAGTACTTCAATATTCCATATATTTTCCAATTTAAAAAATTATTAGGATAAACAATTATTTCCAAAAACGATAAAAACATATTTTTTTGAATTTCCCGCGTATCTCTGCTACTTCTGGTCATCTCAATTAAAAAACTCATCGATAAAATATAGTTACCATCTCAGGATAACACCATTTCCTCCAAGATACCCCCAAAAATCCAAGTGGTGGGGTTAAAAGGGATAGCGGCTGTATGTCGGGACGCCATGCGTCGACTGGCGTCGCGTCGGCACTCGTCAGTTGGGTGGCAACTGCCTGACAGTTGACAGCTGATCCCGCGGTATGCCTTTTTGATTTTCAATATACAACAAAAACCCGCGTGTTCAACCAACAAAAATAACCGATCATTTCTATATTTTCACCAAAAAAAAAAATAACCGGTCAACGGATAATTGATTAAAAATGTGATATCGATTGAATAATTGAATAAGTGAAGCCAGTGACAGTGAGAACAAGTGGAGGGTTAATTTTGGTCCAGTGTTGTGGATTACCTATGCAAGGGGGTTGATAACAACCAACAATGGTTGCCAAGCATTTCACCCAGGGTAAGATGGATTTTTTATAATTATCCATGGAGTTGTTACCCCCTATTGTCTCCCACCGATCTCCCCCAAAATCATTCCTCCCCTATTTACCCCATCAATGGTACGATTTTGGAAATGATATCTATTATTTTTCTACGAATTTTCTCCATTTTGGAGAATTGATCTGAGGGGTGTTTCCCCCAGTTACCCCCCAGAGATTATTCCTCCTGGATAAATAGTCGCCCTGGATTTAATAAGGACTACCTCATCCCCATTTTTTCCTCTCGATGATTATCATAGAATTTGAAATTTGTTCTCTAGTTCATCGAACAGTGGGGGAGGGGAACATCTGGTGATGAAAGTGGCATTGAACCTAGAGGTCCAGACAAATCTCCTTTTCCCTTTGAGTTTCTCTATCTTTTTTCATCTTTTTGTACCTGGCATTTCTCCCCCGAGAGCTCAGGATAGATTTTTTTTATTCTCAATGGAGAGCTGATGATTTTTTGCACAACCAGTCGACGATTTTGCTGTGATGCAATAAAAACCGTACGTGACCGGCATTTTTTATAAATAAAATAAGTCCGAGGGGTCTGTTTCATCGGGGAAATCGATGATTCATTGATAAATTGGGGAGAGGGAATTTGTCAATCACTTTTCATATCTCTGCATTTTTATCTCTGCAGACATTTATTTGAAGAATAATAATACGTACCATTATCAACAATATTAATAATTATTATTCTTATTTGTTTATTTGAATTTAAGAATGAATTTTTCTTCACGTCGTGATAAAGAGGAAAAGGCAAATGAAAGAAAAGGACTAATTACCGAGATAATTCCATAATAATTAGAAGACAATGACATTTTTTTTTTTGCACTAGATATTCGCATGTGAAAACGAGAAGGTTATTATTATTTTTTTATTAAAGAGCAAGCTCTTGCGCCCACCACAAAGTCCCACCCTTTTTCCTTTGATAAATGATACGACGTGCCCTAGATATTTGAAAAGCAACGGAAAAGGACGAAAAACAGTGAAAAGGGTGAAAACGAATGACCTCGCTCGTCACGTGGATTTATCATTGAGTAAATCCGCTAGTTTACAATTTTAGTCCTTCGAGGAAGGCGTTTCACTCCTAGATTGACAGGAAATTCACAGGATGATTAATCACCTCTAATATTCTCTAGTATTCTCTAAATTCTTGCTTCCCTGAATTGACTCTTTATTGGTAGCACGTGGATTAATCGAGGAATGACTCGATTTATTCTGATATTTATTGTGATTGACCTAGATCATTCGATAATTTGTCAATGGATTTTTTTAAACTTGAGGATTTGGTTGGGCATCGCGTTGACGTCTGGATGACGGGGAATTGTAATCACTTGGAAATTATTTGGGGAAATTGTGTGACTCATCTCCAGCATCCTGGACTTCTCTGGAATGTTTTGGTCTTGTGAGTCATCCAGGTGAATTTTTTGAGTGCCTCCCATCGTCAGTTCAGTCTGACGTGTTCCATTTTACAGCTCTATTTGTCCGTTAATCATATTCAATGGCTCTAATTACCGGAAAATAGTCACATTAACTTGAGTAATTAGTAGGTGACGGGGAATAATGGAATTTAGAAAGATTGGGGGAGGTGGTGGTGCTTCAAGGACAGAGTGCATGTCCTGGATTTATTCCTTTGAAATATTTCGAAAATTCCTCCCCGACTTTTATTTAAAATATCCATTAATATCCAATAATTAATCAATTAGTACTTACGAAATATTTTCCCATTCATTGATTTTCTTTACGTCATTTTATAGGATTAATTATTGATCCCTGGAAATTGTTTAAATAATTTTTAAGTTATCAATAAACGAATTATCAATTATTAATGAATCCAAAAATTCATTGATTAATTTAATTGCGGGATAAATCAGGGCATCATGTAATTTATTTTTATCAAGTATCAATCAATTGTTACTAATTAAATCACTCGATGAAATTCTTCATGAAGGGCTTAATTGTTCGCGGTAATCTGGGGAATTTATCTCATGTGGTCGCACGTGTCGGTGAAATGTGGATAACGAGGGTGTAATTTACCCCTAGTAATTGTCTTAATCAAGGGAAAGACAAGTATTTGTCAAGAGAAAAATGAAAACGAAGAGAGAGCATTTTTATTGAGAACGAATGCACCCCCGAAGGGCTGAAAGCATCCAGAATTCTCTACTCCTCCGCTTTCACCCTCTCAATCACCATAAACAATTATTAATTAACTAATTGAATTAATACCTTAATCACTATTTCGGTTTATGCCATCAAATCCTTCGGGGGAATCTATTTTTCGCTGATTCAGACACGATACTGTAATTTAATAATTAATTCCTACAATAAAATGGAGTGAGATTATTAATTAAAAAATAGGGGGAATTGTTTAAAAATTGGTCAGGGCTCTTTTGTATTCATTAATTGTCTTCATGTTTTTTGAACACGCAAAGGAATTTGTGAGAAAAAAAATGATTAAATTGCAGATGTAATAACAGATGACGAATTATTTTTTATTTGACAATTAATTAATTATTTTATTATTGTTAATTAACCGCTAATTCATTAATCAATTCAATCGATTGCATCAAGACAGAAACGAAGACTTTTTTAATGTAAAGTTTATAAACTATAAATTAAAATTCACGGATTTTTATTTAAAAAATCGCAAAACTATTGTTTCATTAGAAAAGAAATTTTCATATTATTTTTTTTATTTATCCATTTTATTTACAGAATAAAAATCCACTATCCATGATTCTCACGAGGGGAATATAAATATTTCCTGCTGATACATCAAATTAGCATTTGATTCTCGGTCTCACTCTCGCTTCATTCTTTTTTTTTTCTTCTTTTTGCAGCGAGGAAAATTTTTTTGTTTGCAATCTGGTATCACCGAGGTTGTTGGTTTTCTTATCATGTCACTTGGATCTAGTGTATCCGCTTCCGGAGACTACGGGTGACAGGAATTCCACTGGAAAGATAAATTCAATTTATAAACGTTTTGCCCGACACAATATTCAATAAAATAATACAATAATAATATTAAAAAAGAAACCGCATTATTTTGACCTTTTAAATTTTGCAAATCCTTCGATCGCGATTCCATTCGCACTTTCTCTTTTTGTTTCTGACGAAGGATTAATTTATTTACATTTTTATAATTATTTCGGGTAAAAAATCGGTGTGGATGGATTAAAAGAAGACGAAATCTCGAGAAGGAAAAATTTGTCCTTGAAAAACATATATGAATGCATTGATGCGATGGCAGCTGTCGAGTGGTGGTCGACCGCAGGTGCATTCGAAAAACAGATACACCTGCAGCTCCCAGTTCTCCATTTATCCCTCGACAAATTTATTTCACACTTCTATCAGCACTATTTTCCGATAGCTTGTTACATATATATATATATATATATTTTTTTTTTCAGGCTCCAGTCCAGAGTCCGGAGTGCCGGACATGACTGTCATCAGTGATATCGATGAAATAGGCATCAACCGGAATCTGCAAGTTCGATATGGACGAGATCAGATATACGTATCCTTTTTGCCATTCCATTTTTCAAATTAAAAAACATCATCGATGAATTATTGATACGTATTTCGGATGCTGGGATTATTTTTTATTAAAGATTATGGATTATTCATGGGGAAATAGTAAAGGCTAGTCGATGCAGTGAAGTTTTTCGGAAATTTCTCGGAATCTGGGTTAGATACCGAATTTTTCATTATCACCTTTTTTGCAGGTCTAGTTGCGCCTTATAAAAAAGGTTTCAAGGAAATTTGGGGTAGATGTGTTAGATTAAGAGATATTCTCAGTTTATTGCGGAAGAAGTTGATGGAATTATGGGATGTGGAAGTTGTTTAAATAATTATCATTTTAATTGAGATACCGCAATAAATAAATGACAAATCAACGAGAAGTAGATTATAAAATTATAATAAACAACCCAAACAATAATGATAATACAGACAGACTTGTCCAATTAAAATAATTTATTTAACAAACATTTATTACCTCGGCGAAATGAACTAATAAATTAACGATTAATTATCTTCAATCGAAATTGAATTCAAACCCGAATAATAAATAATTGAGCTGCCACTGGTCTGAAATTCCAGAAATTAAGGCTTAAAGATGAATTTTTCTATTTCTTCGTTAAAAAAAAAGGGAAAATTTTAGAATTAATGAATTTTTTATTAAAAAAAAAATACATATCTCACCCCATAAGAACGTGAAAAGCCCCAGACAATACGACACAAAGAGAGCAACAGCCTAGTGTCCTGATCCGCACAAAAAACCCCAAAATAAAAAGGAAAAAAAAAAGTGGAGTGACGTTGAATATGAATTTTGGTTTGGGGTGGGGTCTCGCCCGGGGGTTGGTTGCCATGACGACATATTCCCTGCAGTCAGCTGGTTCTGCTACCCTTTTTCACCCTGGAACAGCCCCATTCATCTCAACCGAGTTCTTTTTTTTTTTTTTTTTTTTTTTTTTTGAAAAAACCGCCGACCGAGCGACCGACTGAGCATCAAACGACGACACCAACACCTTCTGCATTTCACCTCAACCCTTCCTTCTTCCCTTCTTCCCTTTTCCCCTTTTTCCCTTCCTCAAGTGCCTCAATCCAGCTGATGACACACTAAAACTCTTTCAATTACAAAAATACTCATTCTTTATAGAAAATTTTTCCAAATCGCACATCAAAGTCACGAAATATTAAAAGAAAAATTATTTATTCTGTTGAATTATCTAATGATTCGCGAATTCCTTCTAGTCTAAAAGGGACACACGATTTAGACAAACTAATGAGGCAATTCCCTGATTAATTCGGGTAATTTTGAGCGACATAAATGAGCGTTGCAGATGCAGAATTTCCTGGTTACGTGTATGACGTGTGTGGGAGGGTAATGGGAATTTAGAGTGAAGTTGAAACGTGAAAGTGTGGGATCAACCTCGAATGGTCAACTTTTATCACCGACTGGAGTTTTACATTTTTTACGCTCTCGTAAAGAATTGAATGAAAATCCGCTGACACCTACGTTCCTGAAGATTGCAATATCTCGTCATTTTTTTATTTCTTTCCCACTTGCAATAAATTCTTTATTAACTCCTCCCCCCACAATGAAAAAATGAATAAAAATTCTGATCAATTCCCTAGGACTCCACAAAATCCAGGAATCTATCGGATAGTGGGAAATTTATTTATTTATTTATGTGAATGTAATGGGAATTAATTAATGATTGAAAAAAGGGGAGAATTTTTTTTATTGAAACGATTAAAATTTTCTGGAGATATTTCAAGTAGACGTTTTTATATTTTTAGTGAATCATTCCAGAAACTGGGGGATTAGATTACCATTAGTCACTTTAGATACTCCGGAGGTTTCCATCCCCTGTCTCTTCCTCAACTCTGAGAATTGGGGAGTGGAGATAACTCGATAGAAAGGAATAGATGGATGACGAAGAGGGTGGGGTTGACATGACACGAACAGAAAAATTCATATTCTACATTTTCACATCTCTTAAATCTCTCAAATCTCTCATTGATTCCTTTCCCTCTACCCCAGCATCCCTTCTCTGCATTGGCATCGCTCCAAATTAACAATAAATTAATGAAAAAAAAATGCAATTCATCTCTTCTTAATCCTCAATTTTCCAGGTGCTTACATTTTTCCAAAATAATTCTAAAACTAATGGAAACACTAAAATGTGGGTAATAGTTTTTCCCGGGGTTTCGGGTGAATTTTATCGGCTAGAAATGGTTTATTACCCCCTTTCTGCAATGTACCCATGAATCATCAACCCTCAAGTATGGGGTTTGCCCATGAGTGAGAGAGAACCATTGAAATGACGCCAGAATAAGACGCCCCATCGTCCCCTATACATGTAATACGTAATATACATTATGCAAAGAGGGGGACATGAAAGCCCCGGGGGTAAATGTTCAATTTTCATCGATATCCGGACATTATTCCGCCGAAAATCCAACGACGCAAACCTTTCTCACTCAGTTTTCAGTCGATATCTCGGCATCGAAAGGAGATAGCGATAAAAAATGTTCATGCAAAAAATCAAAGTAATGTTCACTCAATCATGATGAAATGGCAGTTTTTGTTCTAATTGTGGAATTCAATTTGTTGCTATTTGTGGTTTTGCTGTAATCTTATCGTTTTTTCCTTAACAAATATTCAGACGTACACTGGATCAATTCTGGTGGCGGTCAATCCGTACAAAGAAGTCGATGTCTACACAATGGTGAGTGTTAATTGTTAATATAATAAATATAGCAAACTATTACTGAATTATTTAGAAATTCTGGAGGAAGATATTGAATTTTTGGTGATTATTAATGCATGAGAAGCTTTTGATTTTCCGAGTCATTACACCGCATTTTTAGGTGGGAATAGGATAAGATAAGATATTCATTGATGGCATGATAGATAAAGTGGGGTTTATAAGTGGGCTATTGAAAAATCACTGAAAAAATTAGATATTGAATGAAAAAAAATGGAATAGCGAGAGGAGATAGAGAATTAATACGTTTGGTGGGTGTTATCAATGTATTGGATGTAATTTAGTATCGAAGTGATAAAAGATGATGAGTAAATTTCCAACGAATCGCCAAATGCTTGAGCTCCGCCTGTAGCCCTCATTTTAATTTATAAAAACAATCTGTAGAGTTAATAATTTAGCTCTTGATTGAGATAAATCAATGGAAAAATCAACAGCGGATTCAGTAATCTTAATACCATTTACCACTTGACTACTGAATTGCACTCAATACCTCATGAGAAATCCAATTAAAATCTCTCGTACCAGTCATCCTGAGTTATGATCTAGATGAAGAAGCGGTGAATGAACCTCGATAATGTGAGTCTCGTCCCCAATTCACGTCGATAGTCTTCAGCATGTGTGATACACTCGAGAAAAGCCCTTTGGTTTTTCCATTCTTATTACCTCTGGGGAGTTTACCCTCTTGTCCTCCCTCTGTGATGAAACGCCCTGACTCCAGAACTGTGAACTCTTCGTCAACCAGTGGAAGGAGGGATGAGGGCAAAAGCCACGGCCTATTTCCTTACTGGGTCATGCCTCGTTACTAGATTCCAGTTGAAACGATTATCATGGGTGAATTCATCCTCATGGATCATTTCATCAACCCCCAGCCCCTCCAGGTGTTCAATACATGTCGATTTTCCAGAACACATGCATTTCCTGGGAGGATCCACAAAATTCTATTGGAGTATCTACCGAATATCTCGGAATTGAAAGGAGATACCGAAATTTTCATAAATAATTTTTTCATAGATAAAAGCGAGAACTAGAAAAAAGGTCCTTATGAAAATATCAATATTTCTATTTAATCCCGAGATATTTGGGAAAAACTCATCTGCAAAAAAGTTCATTGGTCCCAATTTATTGATTAAGTGATGAATTAAAATAAATTGATTGATATAATCAATTAAAATCATTGGAATAATAAAAAAATGTATGGAGAAATGTCGCCAAGAGGTAGGGACATCTGATATGTACTGATACCCATCAACTCCTGGGTAATTGCTCCCGAAATTATCATAAACAAATGATGATTTTCTGGGGATTGCCATGGAATTATCAGTAATTGTATTTTCGCAATGGGAAATGGAAAATTATGGAAAGGACTGGAGAAAGCTAGTGGAAATCAGGAACTGAGCCCTCAACAACAATTTCAATGTGCGCTCGGAGACGATCAATACCCAGGGGCGTGCACCGCTCCACCATCCGCCCTTTTTCATCCTGATATCCTTTCACTGCATTAATCTGATTAAAAAAAAAAAAAAAAACCACTCAGGATCATCAAGACAATCATCAAGACTCCAGAGAATCCAAGAAAGACTCTCTCATCCATTTCTGATCATTTCCCTTCATCTTTTATTAGTTAAACTCTTATTTACACTTTTGTATATTTTGTTTAAGTTATTAAACAATAAAAATTAATTAAATAATCTAGTCTGCGGACGAATCATTTGGGTATTCTTGGAATTCTCGAAATTTTCATTTCGATGGAGGAATTTATTTATTTCTTAAATGGAAATTTCTCTTTTATTCATTTTAAATAAATCATAGAAACGATTTTTTATCATGAATGATGGAAAATAAATTAAATAATTGTGATCTTTTAATGAAAAATCTGGGAATTGATCTCTCCATTTTTTTAAAAATAGTAATAGTAATTGTTTATTTTTCTAATAAAATTTAATCTCTAATTTCGTTTTTTAATTCGGGAATCCACTTCCACAAATGAATAATCTCTCTTAAATAGTATAATAAATAATGATAATGCTTTTTATCAGTGGATGAGAGGAGTTTGAAGACTATAAGTCTTTGGTCCAGAAATATCTTGGAAGCTGGAATCCCTCAGTTATCGTAAAACCCTTGTCCTCAGATGAAAACGCTAATGGGCGGATGCACGTGGCCCCTTCCACGAAAATAAACAAATGATAATAAATGTAAATCTTCAGGGTCTTATTATCTCTGTACGTGGAGAATAGCTCTTTGAAGATGATGGTCTCCTAGACACGTTTCTTCGGAGAAAAATCGTTTTTTTTTTTCAGATTTTTTCCTGATTTTCTCTTTTATAAATCAAAAATCTTTTACAAATCAATAACCGTCGATGTTGAATTAAATTAATTAAATATCAGAATTATCGGATTATAATTAAATACTCATCCGGTTGTAACTTCATTAATTCGTTTTTAATTAATCTATTTTATTGTTGTTGAAAAATATTTAATTAATTTATTTGAGGAAATAAATCGAAGTAAAAATGGAATTCAGAGAATCTGAAAAGATTAATTATTATTAATTGCAAAGCAATAATTATTATAATTATAATTAATTAATTAATCAGTTGAATTTACTATTGTCAGCTTCAAATAAAACTTCTCTCAATAAAAAATGAATAAAATCAATTGATTCAAAGAGACAAGCTACTCTAAACGATAAAATATAATTTTTTATTCATTAAAAAAATGAATGAATTTAAAATGCCGAATTTTCAATTATCATAAATAATGAATGAAAAACGGAATTCACAGAATTATTTATAATAACGACGAGAGAATGGGGAATGTTGAAACCCTGAAGGATTTCTAACCGAAAGCTTTTCCATTTCCCTTTTGTCATTTTTACCCTGAGGGCACTCATTCTCAAAACCCACTCACACTATTTCCTCGACAATCTGTGAATACCCTGCAGATGTAGAGATAATGTATGTGTAACCGGTGAATTGATACCTCGAGATTTCTCGACCTAGAAAGCATCTCTCAGAGCGATCATCGTGTTCCCCGTGCATTCGCCCCGGCAAAAGCTCATCGTCGCACATCCGCTTCCTGTTTTCCACGAGAGACAGATATAAAAGCACCATTTCACTGCCTCCATCGAGTTAGCTTCCAGGAAAAATTCAATACCCGATTTATCGAACAGCCGTTGAATTATTTTGATAGTTCGATAATTGGGGATTCGAGATATTCTATTTGGAAAATTTTTAGTCTCGATGTCTGGACGTGGGGCACGCGTCTTGGGAAAGTCATTATCTATTCTGTTGATGCACTTCCGGTGCTGGAAATTTACAGCTAACAATCGGACAGCCTTAAAATAAATACCAGTCACGAGTGTTTTTGAATCCAATACTCCAGGGGATTGTGACGTTAATTTAAATGAGATGTCCCAAAATGAAAATCGATAATAATAATTAATTATTTATTCTATTAACAATTTAATTCGAAGGACTTTTCCCCAGGGCTTCAGCCCGAGAATCCACTTTTATAAAAATTATTAAAATCAAATAATCCACTTGGTGCATTAACCGCCCGATTCGCTGTACTTTATCAATAAATAATCGTCTAAAAAATACCGGAAGTCCTCAATATTCCGAGGAAAAACTGAAATTTTTATACATAAATATCCAAATTTTTATATATATTTTTTTTTATACTAATTCTATACAAACTATTCTTTAGTTTTCTAAAATTCACTTCCACTCTAGAGTATATTTCCGTCTGTACGAGATATTCAGAGTCTGACCTTTAGACTAGTGACACCCGTAATTATTTTTCCGATGGAGCAAAGGCCCAGGGATATTTCTGTTGAATTAAAAAAAAAATCACCGACTCCTCCGGTCGATCTAAATCCATCACCCATTGATTAAAACCAATGAAAAACAATTTCAGGAACACGTCCACAGATATCACGGCCAGAAGATGGGTTCCTTGGAGCCCCACGTGTTCGCCCTTGCAGAAGCTGCTTATCGGTCTCTTCAGGACACAGAGAGCAATCAGTCGTGTGTAATATCTGGTGAGAGTGGGGCTGGTAAAACCGAAACGACAAAGTTCATACTCCAGTACTTGTGCTCAGTGACGAGTAACGTTGACACATGGGTGGAACAACAGATTCTGGAAGCCAATACGATCCTGGAAGCCTTTGGCAATGCCAAGACAGTGCGCAACGACAACTCATCGCGTTTTGGTAAATTCATGCAGGTCTGCTTCGACTCGAAGTGGATGATAAAAGGATGTATAATACAGGATTATCTCCTGGAGCAATCGAGGATAACATTTCAGAGTCCAGGTGAACGGAATTATCACGTGTTTTATCAACTTGTTGAAGGTGGCACACAGGATGGTGAATTTGCTGATCAGTATCACCTGCTGCCAGCGTCAAAATACAAGTATCTCAATCAATCTGGTTGTATTAAAATCGAAGCAATCTCAGAGAGCAAGAAGCTTGATGCTCTTCGTCTAGCTTTCAATGTGCTCCAGGTGCCGTCGGAGATGTGCGAGGGTATCTACCGAGTGCTGTCAGCTATCCTGTGGCTTGGCAATCTCAACTTTCAGGATGTCGATGGTGAGAGATGTGAGCTGACGAAGGAAGACATAGAAATTGTCGACACAGTGGCACCTCTCCTGGGTCTCCAGCCCGATGATCTCACCAAAGTCGTTTTAGTCAGGCAGATCAATGTCCGGGGAAATATCACTGAGATTCCCCTGAAGGTGCAGGAGGCAAGGGAGAATCGTCACGCCATGGCCAAGGCACTCTACTCCAGGACCTTTGCTTGGCTCATCAATCACATCAACAATTGCACAAATCCTGGACAGGACTCCTCGAGGTTCCTCGGTGTTCTTGATATATTTGGCTTTGAGAATTTTGCTGTTAACAGCTTTGAACAGCTCTGCATCAACTACACAAACGAAAAACTCCACAAGTTCTTCAATCATTACGTCTTCGCAATCGAGCAAGAGCTCTACAAGCAAGAGGAGATCCAGTACTCTCACATAACATTCACGGATAATACACTCTGTTTGGAGTTGATTGAGAAGCCACCGCGGTGTGTTCTCAAGCTGCTCACCGAGCAGTGTCACATGCCAAAGGGTTCAGACACAGCATATCTGACAAATTTGCATTCAGAGTTCGAGGGACATCCGTGTTACGTCAAGGGTGACGACAGGAGAAAATGGGAGAAAGAATTTAGCCTGAAGCATTACGCTGGCGCTGTGACGTACACGGTTGAAGGATTTGTTGATAAAAATCGTGATGTCCAGCAGGATGTGTTTTTCGATTTCATGAGCAGAAGTACTAATGAATTTGTCCAGGAGATAACGGTTTATCAGGATCTTCTTGGATGTACTGTGGCTAGAGCAGCTGGAAGTACCACTACAATGTCCAGGGGTACAACCAAGGGTAAGCCAACCCTCTGTGATTCCTTCAGGCATCAGCTTCAGGCACTCGTCGATGTTCTCCAAGGGACAACACCGTGGTATGCCAGGTGTATCAAACCCAATATCAATAAGAGTGCTGATCATTACGATGAGAGACTTGTTCTGGATCAACTGAGATACCTGGGAATGCTCGATATCATCAGGATCAGGAAGGAGGGATTTCCCATTCATCTGCAGTTCTCGGATTTTGTCTCTAGGTACAGGTGTCTCGTCAAGGGTAGAACAATGCTGCCGAAGGACGACAGAGAGGCCACCAGGTGTTTGATAAAGAGCCAGGGAATTCCAGAGACTGAGTGGCAAGTTGGAAGGACCAAGGTATTCCTCAGGAGTTACGTTCACGAGCCACTTGAGGATTCCAGAAATAAACTCGTCACCAGCAATGCCATTGTCATTCAAAAAATCTGGAGAGCGTATGTCGTGAGAAAAGGTAATCTAAATAAAAAATAATTATTAAGAAATAATAATTTGTGATTTTATATTGATTTATTCTCGATAGATTATCGACGGATTCGAGATGCTGCACTCAAAGTTCAGCACGCATACCGCGGCTGGAAGCTTCGCATTATGTTTATCAGAAAGCGTCGTGCTGCTATTGTAATTCAGTCACATCTTCGTGGTGTATTTGCACGAGAGGTTGCAGCTGCACTACGTGAAATGCGACGGGTCGACGAGGAGATGAGAAAACGAGAGAGAATGGAGGAGGAGAGGCGACTCATGGAGGACAAGAAGGCACTCGAGGACAGTCAGAGGTATGGACACTGTTGTTACTATGTTGTTGGATAAGTACCTCAATGAGGATAAGAAAATATCATCCTTTGTGCTTTGTAGCTCTCAGTACAATGGTATTGTTGGAATGGAGCCTGGGTAAGTCTCATTGGATCCAGGATAATCAGAGCACTGCACAAACAATTTCATATTCATTGGATGATTAAACATTAATTATTCATGTTAATTGACACGTACATGAATGAGTTTGAAAATTTGGGGGAGAAAAATTGGATTTTACATTAAAAAAAATTTTTTTTATCAGTTATTATTCATTATTGAGTTGATAATTAAATATAATTAATGATTAAATCATTATTGACGTCGATTTGTGGTGAAATGAGTATTTTAAAATATTTACAGAGAGTATAGAAAAATTTTGAATTTATAAAATTCTGTGAAAGATCATTTCCGCAGTGACACAATACACAATGTCAAAATCACATTTTAAATCAAATGAAATTCAAAAATTCCGAGGGAAAAAGTGAAATTTTATAATAAAAATGTGTTGTAAAAATTTTCAGAAAAGCCCAAGAGGAGATTGCAGCTCTTTCTCAAATGGCGGAGCAATTAAACTCAAAAATGGCAACAACGGAACTCCAATCCGTGGATCTGGACAATCTCTTCTCGTTCCTGTCTGACGTGCAGTCGACAAAAGCCCAGACAATCGAGGAGCTCGGTGAGCAGATGGAGGAGCTCGTGGAGGACTTGGACGCCGAGCTGGAGAGTGTAATCCAGCTGGAGATGGAGATGATAGCAAAATCAGATTCAAAAATGTCAAATTTGAATTCACCAGATGCCCCTAGGGCGTGCAATGGCACAAAAATGGGTCCACCTAGTCTACCAGAACCCACAGGACCACCACCACCACCTCCACCCCCTCCATTACCATCAAATGGCGAGACAATGGACCCGAACGAGCCGATTTACGAGTCAGTGTTGCCAAGAGATGAGAACGACACGAATGTACCCATTAGAATAAACGGACACTCAACTCAGACAAATGGTGACAGTTGTCCATCACCTCCACCAGTGCCAGTGACAAAGATAATTAAGGATCCACCATCACGTCCAGAGTCGAGAAATTCCTCGAGTCATTACCTAGTGCACCAGACCAACGGAGGACTCCATCAGATATCTAATGGTCACGATGTGAGTCTTGGTGGTGCAATTGGAAGTGGAGTTACAGGTGGAACTGTCAATGGACAGCAGGTAATTGGAATTCAAGGTCAATTGCCAGTGCAGATGCAGCAGAGCACCCAGGGAATGCAAAATGGTGGTCAGGGACAGCCGGAGAGAGAGCAGCGGAGAAAATTCAGAGTTGAGAGAAAACTCCAGGAGTTGGAGGAGAAAAAAGAGCCTGTGGAAAATGAAGTATTGTACCACGATATTGTGGAGTTTGCTCAAAACTACTTCAACAGCCACGAGAGATCCCCAGAGGGTACAATAATGGCGACACTGACTCGTAAATCCCGTGGAAAAAGTATAGAATTTATTCCTAAATACGAGATGGTGACGTACTACAAGGGCTCGACCATTCCCAATTCCCACATTCACATGTACGATCCTGACAACGTCAATCTCGCGTGCTCGACATTCCGCGATCTCTGCAAGTATCTGCGAGGTGAGATGAAGCTGGAGCAGGAGATAACGACGATTCAATCAATAATAAGTCATGGAATTGAACGTGAGGAGATGAGAGATGAGATTCTTGTGCAGTGCATGAGACAATCAACGAATAATCCAAATCCAGAGTGGGCAGAGAGGGTCTGGCTGCTGCTGTGTTTGGCAATCGTTGCCTTTCAGCCATCAAAACTCCTGTACAAGTATTTTGTCTCGTTTCTCCGTAAAAATCTTGCCCACGAGGGTAAACTGAGACAATACGTCCAGTGGTGTGTCGACAACTGCAAAAATACCAAAGTCTCGTGTCGACAGTTTCCACCATCAACAGTGGAGATCGCAGCGATGAGACGATTGGGAACAATTGTCTGCAGATTTTTCTTCCTCGATGGTAGAACAAAAGCGATCGATGTCCATCCAACGGACACAGCAGCTGATGCGGCAGCTAAACTTGCTGAAAAATTGGGACTGAGATCGCTGGAGGGCTGGGCAATCTATCAGAGTCGTCCAGATGGTGAGGAGCACGTACGAGCTCATGATTATCTCTACGATGTGATTGCAGCCTGGGAAATGAAGCAGTGCAAACTCAATACCTCGACCTCGTCATTCTCGACCCTTCGGCGAGGCTCCAATCAGACTCTGGGGAGCGGTGACAATCGATTTGTATTCAAACGTCGTCTCTTTCGAAATAATCGTGAACTCTCTCAAGACCCTGTGGAAGTCAACATGCTGTATTCACAGGCTGTTTACAATGTCGTCAAGTGCGATGATTTTCCAGTGTCTGAAAAAGTGGCACTTCAATTGGCTGGTCTTCAGGCTCAGGTATCCCTTGGAGATCCCAAGGACAATGACAGACTTGATTATTACAGTGAAGTCGACAGCTTTCTGCCTTATCGAATTAGTAGAGCTCGTGGGGATGATGTCTGGGTGCCAATAATAGCACAGGCTCACAAGCAATATGGATGTGGTAGATCTGAACTCACAGCTAAAGTTCTTTATCTGTCATGCGTGATGCAGTATCCATTGTATGGTACCACGATGTTCAATGTCACATATCGTGGATACTGGTCGTACGGTAATCAATTAATTCTTGGTATCAATTGCGATGGACTGATGCTCATCAAGCCCGAAGACAAATTTGTACTCTCAGAGTATCGGTATCAAGACGTTGAAAGTATCATGCTGGATCCCAGTGACTCCTTCATCACAATTTCTCTTCTCAGACACAATCCTGACAGCTCCCACAAGTGTTTTGTCTTTGAGACACCACAGAAGAACGAAATAGGGAGCTTAATAGTGAGTTATTGTCCAGCACTGGCTGGATGGATCACCGAGAACGAAGCACCAACGAAAAAAACAAAGTGCATAACGAATGAGGATCGTGTTCGTCTGTATCATAATTTAGTAAACTGCCGGAGAACTCTAGTGGATTCGGAGGCATTGAGAAAGCCTCAGGACTCTGGTGGTGGCTTCCTGAGGAATACCCTACGTAGATTATCGAAACACAGAATTGAAAAGCTGAGGCAGGAGCATGGTAACAGTACAGATGATGGAGAAACTTATAAAGGATTTCCACATGCCTATTGGGCATTCAGCAGATGCTCTATTCCCCAGAGTCTCACGAAGTTGCCAGACCCTGAGGAACAGATTGCTCTCTCTGTCTTCCAGTTGTTGCTGACTTATGCTGGATTAGGGCAAAATGGTGACACCGTACGAAGAGTTGAGGATGAGCACGTGAATTTAATTCAATCAGTGATGGAGAGGTGTATGAGAAAGGAGAATCTCCTGGGGGAGTTGTACCTCCAGTTGATCAAGCAGACGACTGATCATCCAGATCCCAACAGCAGGGTGAACCTCAGGCACTGGGCACTGCTGTCATTGGCCTGTTCTGTCATTCTTCCACCGCAGAAAATCATCAGGAAGTACCTGATTGCTCATCTCAAGAGGTGTGCCAGTGATTACGTCACTGAGGAGGGAAAATACGCGAGATTTGCTGAGAAATGCCTGTACAAAACTCAGGGAACGAGGAGGAGGCAGTGGCCACCCAGCAGAGAAGAGATCATGTGCACGATAAACAGAAGACCCATTTACGCTAGGTTTCACTTCATGGATGGACAGTATCACGCCGTTGAGTTTCATCCATCAGCAACAGCTAGAGATGTCATGGAGATAATCAAAGCCAAGATTGGACTGGGTGAGTCTGCAATGGGATATGCTATCTATGAGGTTCTTGGATCCACTGACAGAGCTCTCATGCCTGAGGAGAAGATTGCTGATGTCATGTCCAAGTGGGAGAGATACAGAAGTAGTCAGCAATCAGCTCAGCCCCAGAGAAAGCATGGCCATCACTTGTTCCTATTCAAGAAGCATCTCTTCTTGGATCACTACATGAATCTCACTGATCCTGTTGAGAAGGAGTTGCTTTATCATCAAGTGCTGCATGATCTCAGGGCTGATAAATTTCCTATTACTGAGAAGGAAGCTATGATGCTGGCTGCACTACAGGCACAGCTCGAGCTCGGGGACTGTTTGGATACTGTTAATGGACCTGAGTACAGAACTGTTGCCAGTCACTGCCTTCCACCAAGAATTGCACCCAATATCAGTGTCGAGGGAATTGTTCAGCATCATCAATCACTCAGGGGCATGACACCCAATGAAGTGAAAAAGGCTTTCTTGAATTTTATTCAGTCCTGGCCACTTCACAGGGCCACTATATTCGATGTCATGCAGTCGTTCACTTCGAATTGGCCTAGGGTTCTCTGGCTGGCTGTTGATCAGATTGGACTCCATTTACTGGAGCACAGATCTAGAAATGCACTCTGTACTTATGAGTACAGCAGCATATTGAGTTACAGTCCTGCATTGAATTGCCTTATGATTATCACGGGAACTGATAAAAAGCAGAGCAAAGTTATTTTAACTACTTCGCAGGCTTGTCAAATAGCAAATTTGATACGTGAATATACAGAAGTCCTCCAGATACCACCAGAAGTACCAAAGAGAGATTCAGGTATGCCTCAACACATGACCTCAATTCAACCAATAAACACTGCCACAGCCTCGAGTGGTCACAAATCAAGACCAGCCTCAACTTTACACCGGGGAGCACCAGTAATCCACTCGCAGGCTAGCTAAAACAATTTTCCGATACCAAAATCAATGGAGTAATGAATGGATTTACCGATGAGGCCTATTGTAACGATTAGCATGAGAGGAATTAATCTAGTGCATTCTTCTTCCAGTATTTATTGTAAGTAATTAAATATAATTTCAGTGCTGTCGAGAGACATAACGTTAACTGCCATGAATTTTAGTAACTGCTACGAAAATATGGAACCAAAGCTGAATTTATTTCACTTCTTTTGTAAATGCTTTAATATTAATTGATAAGAATTTTGTATTAATCTCTCATTACATGTATCATATCAATCGAACAAGTGTGGAGATATTGAAAATTTTGAGATATTATTCCGAGTGGAATGATAATGACGATTTTAAATTAGTGATCATTATCTAAAAACGTTTACTGATCTTCTTTCATATTTTCATTGGAATGTTCTTTTCAATTATTCATTTCCATAATGTATGAGGAATAGAAATAATGTATATGCCATTTTTTACATCATCTCTCTCCAACTGAATAATTCAACAAATAGATGTAAATTCACCTCGAGTAATAAATTAATTGTACAGCTTTCTGTACGTTGCTCCTATAAGCAGCGATGCAATGTTAATTATCATTAATAATTACGTAGAATAACGAGGAATAGCAAACGTAATAATTCAACTTCGTTGCCATTTCAGGAATAGTTAATCATTGATAAAATAAAAATTAATAATTGTCTTTGCTAGGTTCGAAATGAATTTGTTATTTATTCGTGACAATCCCCTGAAGATAAGCATAAGGATTGAAGAATATTTAGCTTGAATAGCGATAGTAATTAACTGAATTGATATAAATTATATTGAATTGGAACTTATTTAGGTTGTGATGGAATAGGTAATGAAGAAGTGAAATGTAACGAGTAAAATTCCATGTTTTTTTTAAAATTATTATTCGGCGATCACTGGGAACTTATTGATTTAATTTGAGTAATTACATTTCACTACTTCAGTACTGAAACAATAATAGTAATGCAAGGTTGTGTGAAACGCCTCGCGATTGCGTCCAAGAGTAAATTATTGAATGAATTATTACTTTATGTTCACTGTCCAAAGATTTACTGCTGGCTGGTTATAACTTCCTTCCTTTGTGTATATAATTATTATTCATACTGATGATTCGAGTATTTTTGAGGGAAATATAGTTCACCCCTGATTTATCGGAGTAATTGATGTATTTGTATAGTTTGAGTTCTTATTGATCTTTGAATCATTAAAAATGGGGAGTGATCTGCACTTTAGTTTAGTAATTTCGCTTGTATTAATGAACAATAATAATTATTCAGTGAAACCTCTTCTCATCGAGTTTTTAGGAATTTGGATAGTTGAATTTTAATAAAATAAAAATTGTTTCTCGTTATTTTAAGAGTGTAGAGACAGATAACAATAATTATTGAATGAAATCTCTTCTAATTTTTCGCTAAATCTATCAGAATCTCAAGATTGATCCGAGCAATAATTTTGACAGTTAAATAACAATTAAAATGAATATTATTTGTCGTAAATAATGAGTGCAGAGGCTGACTGTGATCCGGATCGGGTGATCTTAGTCTTCGAATTATTGTTTTTAAAATGAAATGAATAAATTTTTTCTGTGCATAAGTTAGATGGAAATGTAATTAACGGATAATTTATATTGATTAAATCGAAGGTAAAACAGGCGTCAAGACGATATGAGTTATGCGCACGTCATTACGTACGTAGCTTAGAATTATTATAAATAATTGGTTGACAATGTTATTGAATGATATATGGGTGAAAGTTTTGGGAGAAAATCAAGGGAAGGGCTGTATATAGAATGTATACATTGCGCACTAGCGTATGTGGAATGGAAATAATTGAATCGAGAGTTGAATATGTAAACCACGCACACATGGGCACCAGCAAGACGCCTATCTATGAATTATATTGATATACTCCAGTTCTGTGTATTAACAGAATAAAAATCGTATATTGAAAATAATCAACAATATTGTTTTTTTTTTCCCGTCAATTTTTATTTCTGCAACAATAATTTTTTTTCCTCCTTTATTCGGACTTTTAGAATAAAATAACAGAAGAGTTTATTTTATAGACCGCCATTTTAAAAAAGAAAATATTATACCTACGTAGGTAGTTCAGTATTTAAATCGCATTTATTTTTTCACTTTTGGGTAATGAATCAAGGATTTTGGCTGACATTTTCCGCGCATTTTGTCGACGGCCTTCCTAAGATTAAAAATGGCGGAAAATATCGGATGACTCTTCAATTCAATTATATTATGATCGATTTTCAGCGGTAAATATAACTGCGCACGGGACCTAGTCATTATTAAAACAAATATCAAAATTAATTAATTAATTTTTTCATTTATTATTATTCACCGTTTTGTTTAGAGTTAGAGGAGAGTTCAACGGTCTCGTGTGACAGCTCTCATCACTGACAGATACGACAATGATGTGCAGATAAACTATTAACATATTAAACAAATTGCATTATTATTAAGAAGGAATTGAATTTTTTAAGAGCAATACCTCTTTGAAGAACTCGTGAGAGAGCACAAAGAATTTTCCCGCTGTTAATTTAAGTGGAATCGTTGAATGGTGAATGATTAAAACCAAATGTCTCCTGATTTTTCCAGGTTTAGTGGACCAATCGACGGAGTACGCTATGTCACCTACAGCATAACTTGCTCGTTGACACTTTTCTGTCAGCCAGCAGTACAAAAATAATTTTGAAAGCAACACCAAGTGGACGAGGACATAACGCATCATTTCTTTATACATTTTGGCGGTAAAATTCTGCAAAATACAAAAACTAAATGAAGGTTAAAAATTGTATCACTATTTTCCAGAAATTATCAGCAATTTTGACGTCTAGCTTTTGAACGGAAGTGAAAAAAGACTACAATTATTATATTAATTATCATCTATTATGGTGTAATTATATTTTTACCAGTAATCATAAATTTATACCTGAACAATGCGGATTCCAGTGCAATTAAAAACAATTAGCAGACCAGTGAAGTTCATGAGGATAATGATATTAAAATAATTGTCAATGTTGTGGACAAATTGGGAAATTTGGACGTGTGAGTCGACAATGCATTTGAAACAAGAGCAATTTTTCAGAATGCCTTCTCCAGATGAATGACGAATTTTCCCTCGGTATTCTCTTATTCTGTTGCCAATAATTCGGAATTGTCCACAGGTATGAAGACAAAGTGTCACGAAACAAATGTCGGCCCCAAAAAATATTATGCTACATGTAATGACAGCTACTGTTACACCGATAAAGTATGCAGCAATTGCCATTTGATTATTGGAAGAGTATATATTCCACACGTGAATTAATGAGTTTTCATTTTTTTGTCCTCTGATTGTTGCGAACAGTGGACGCAAAATTATGTCTAAAAAAGAGGAATGAAATCATTAGATTTTATCACATTTATTATCTGAGAATTAGAAAAATTGAGTTGTAATTTTGGAAAACTTTTAAAGTTGATAATCAGTTCAAACCTTTCTAAAACGTTTTGGAGATTTGACTGCATTTATTTGCCACAAACTGTTCGAGTAATTGAATTAACAGCTGTTTAATCAGGAAGAAATACATTGATTGATAATAATGTTAAGATAATTGATGTCCTTACTGTAGATGTTGACACTTTCTCCTGCAGCCAGAATCAGCCCAATTTTTCGTGACCATTCAGCATAATAATGCATTATTTTATTATCCTCCTGGTTGAAGTGAGCGCACCAATTTTTTTCAAGTTCAACCAATAAAAATTCACGGATTTTTGATTTATAACGGAAGAAAAACATTATACTGATTACGTAAATCCGGAAAACGAGAATAGCAACAGACAAGCATAAGTCAAACCAATTGTGGGCGAAGAGAAGAGTATAACCTTGGGGGATGAGGAGAGTAACAATTATTGTTGTGAGGCTGATGAAAAATTTAACTCCATGTGCTCTTCCGACTTCTGGCCAAATACCGACAGTCCGAAAAGCCCAACGAATCAATTGGAGTTCCCATTGATAATTTTCAATGTTTGAGTACTCATTAAATTCTCTCCTCCATATCTTTTTCAGTCGTTCCATCATCAAATGAAACTTGACGTCTGCACCTTTCAATTTCATTCCTCAAACTAATTCATCTTTACACTTTTAACTGTAAAAAATGGCATTCGTACACATGGATTTTTAATACGGCGACATAAAATGAAATATCAAGTGCGTTGTTTGTTTTTTTTTATTAGCTCTTCTGAAAATCCATATGAGCCGTTTGCGTATTCAAATTGCTACCAAGTTCCTAATAATTTTCGAAATAATCAATAGATTTCTATTTATCCATGTAAATTATTTCAGGGAAATTGTTTGCTACTAGCTTTTATTATTTCGTTTTATTCCACGTCCACCACATTTTTTAAAATTAATGCTTCAAACGTCGTTGAAAATCATTATGGAAATAAAAATTGCGTCAAATATTTCAGGAATCTACGGTTATAAATAAATTCTTACTCTACAGCAATAAATTACTAAACAATTTATATATTACTAAAGATTTTGTTTTGTAAAGATCTTGCATTTTTATAAAATATTACACGAATAATTATTCATGCCGATCATTGATTAAAATAATTTTTTTATTAGTCACTTTTTTTGCAGAATTCAATGGTCTCGTGTGATAGCTCTCAGCACTGACATGTACGATATCGCCGTGAAGATAAACTATTAACAAATTGAATAAATTACATTATTATTATGACACAATTAAAATTTTTAATAGACTACCTGTCTGAACAACTTGAGAGAGAGAACAAAGAATTTTCCCGCTGTTAATTTAAATGGAATCCTTGAGTGCCGAATGATGAGAATCAAATTTTTCCTGACGTTTCCAGTTTTCGTCGACCAATCGACGGAATACGATATTTCATTTAGAGCATCACTTGCCTGTTGGCACTTTTCTGTCGACCAACAGTACAAAAATATTTTACTGAATGCGGACAATTGAAAGGTGATATAGAGACCCATTTCATTATACAATCCAGCGAGAAACCACTGTAAAATATGAAAAGCCAATGATTAAGAAGTTATTGGCGATATCTTATAATTTTTCATGATTTTTGAAAAATTTCGGTAGAGATTTCATCGTATTCCTGAAATTATTGCAATTAATGTGTAGTTGTTATAATATTCATTAGGGATATGTAATTATTTTTCACGATTGATTCTAGGAGAAGAGATCAATTGAATAATTCTTTTCACTTGAAGTCCTGAGTTCGTACCTTTAAAATAAGCACTGCACCAGAGCTTAGCATCATCATGAGAGCAGTAAAGTGTAGAAGAATAACAATATTGAAATAATTATCAATTTTGTGGACAAATTGGGAAATTTGGGCGTGTGAATCGACAATGCATTTGAGACAGGAGCAACTTCTCAGAATGTCATCTCCAGATGAATGACGGATTTTTCCTTGATATTCTCTTATTCTGTTGCCAAGAATATGCAATTGTCCACAAGTATGAAGACAAAATGTCACGTAAGAAAGATCGGCTCCAACCATTATTATCCTACATATAGCTATAGGTACTATTGCACATATGTAGAATCCAGCAAAAATCCAGTCATTAGATAGAGAGAGTATGTGCGACACAAAAGATAATTCTGTGAGTTTTTTTTCCTTGACAACAGCTAAGACCACCAGGGGATTCAAAATTATGACTGAAAAATAAGAATGAAAATCACTAGATGTTTATAATTTATACATTTATAATTAAAAAATTGAATGGAAGATTTGACTGCATTACTCGGTTATTTCAATTTTTTTCATTTCAATTTGATTGAAAAGAGTACACTAGTCGATAATGGTTAAATAATATTGATGTACTTACAGTACAGGCTGATACTTTGTGCTACAATCATAATCAATCCAATTTTTCTTGATAATCCAGCGTAATACTGCATTATTTTGGTATCTTGCTGAGTGAAAGGAGTCGACCAATTTATTTTCATTTCTGACAAAATCGATTGGCGTACTTTTGATTTTAACCGAAAGAGAATCATTGCAGTTATTATGTAAGTCCGGAGGAGGAGACCAGCGATGGCAGAGCATAATTCATTCGAATTGTCGGCGAGAAAAAGAGTATAACTTTGGGGGATGAAGAGAATAGCAATTATTATTGTCAGATTAATGAAAAGTTTAACTCCATTTGCTCTTCCGACTTCTGGCCAAACACCGACACTCCGAAAAGCCCAACGAACTAATTGAATTTCCCAGTGATAATTTTTAATGTTTGAGTACTCATTAAATTTTTTTCTCCACATCACTAGCAGTCGTTTCATCATGACATGAAAAATGCCATCTGCACGCCTCAATTTCTCGCCTTAGACTAATTCATTTATACATTTCGTCCTCAGAAAAGATTGATCCCGTACTAATAGCCTTTTGATGTGATTACATAAAATTAAATATGAAATACGTAGGTCATCTTTTACTGGCTGTATATCTAGACATAAAATTGATGTCTACGAAATCGATTATCACCCGTTTTTATTATGTGTATTCGATGTATAAAATGTTAAAGACGTCGAAGTTTAGCACTAGTTCATTGATATTCGATTAATAGCATTTTAAAAAGGACGCGAGAAAAATTTCAGTCGAAAAAACAATATTTTTCACAATAATCCATAATATTCAAAGCAAACGGAGACTAAAAAACGGGATAAAAATACTTTAAATAAAAAAAACACATAATTTTATATAATATATGTATATATACACACATGTTTATTATATATGTATATATATATTTTATATTCATTTATGATTTTGTTACACAATAATCAGACAATTAACAGTGGACAATTGTTCCAGTGAGTGATTTCCCAGAGTTCTTCAACAATTACCGGTAAAAATTCCATTCTTTCTAATCATAATTTATAAATTAATTACTCGAAATTTTACCGCGGTCATACGATTCCACATTCCCAGCGAATCAAACCGGAAATACTATCAGTGAATCGATCAATTGATCGATAATCAATTGACTGGAATCAATCAATCACTGGAACGAGTACTTTATTTATTCATTTCTTCCATAATACGTAATAGTTTTACATTATCTATCTACACTCTAGTCACAGTAGATATTCACTCATTACGCTATCTACGTGTACCTCAAATTACGTAACGTGTATTTTTATTTAATCATTAATTTTATTTATTTTATTACATTTTTCATTAAACTTATTTAATCACTGAAATTCCTCTCTGTTAATTGTACGGTAATACAATCAATGGGTAATCAATTGTATAATAATAGTCATCTGTAATTACACATTTTTTTAATATAATTCTTCTTTCATTTATTTTTTATCATTTTTTTTTCTTCAGGTTAGGTAATGAATATCTCTCGTCATTTTTCACTTGTCATCAATTCCATTTCAACGACTGATTTTTTACCTATTCATTTGTTGATTTAGGGAAGTCATTGGGAGTGTAATTAATTATAGTTGTGAAAAAATGGGACGCAGATTGTTGTTTTTTATGGTATGGATTAGGAATTTGTCTGTTTCTGCGTCTGGATCTCAGTGAATTTTCTATCTTTTATTGGCTTTTTTTTTTAGGCATTAGTTTAGTAATTGAGGGCATTGCAGTGGGCATTGGGATAATCTTTGGCACCAGTTAATTATCGGCAATTAAGGATTTAGTCGAGTGTTTGGGGAGAAATCAGTATGAGATGATTTCAGAGAATTATTGAGAATACCTGAAGAACAAATAATATGCAATTATCATTTTTTCAGCTTCCCAAATCCATTACTTCTTTATTAATCAATTTAATTTATCCTCCAACTCCATCGAGTAAAAATATATTATCAACAAAAGAAGCAAGAAATAAATTTCGACTTAATAATTTAATGACCTGTACAATTGTCAAGTTTGAGATAAAAAATGGAGTGTCTTAGGATTAAAAAAATTTTTTTATCTCAAGATATTCTGATAAATTCTCTGGAATTTTCTCCTCGTCTGTCTCTCACGTCCCCAGATTAATAACAATTGTACCATTTTGTTACAACTAAGTACTTTTTTTTTCGCAGAAGCCCTCGGCATTCAAGGTATGTCCACCACTGGCACCTGCATTGCACATCTCTCCACACATCAGACAGAAAATAAATGAGACATCAAACTGAATGTAGAATTAAAAATAAACTCGTCCATCAGCACCAGCGGGCATTGAACAGTAAGTAGAAGTGAATATAGGTAATAAATGTACTTGACATTTGGATGATTTTTTTTTTTTTTCACTATTCGATCTCCCTTTATTCTCCCACTTCAAACGACAATTCAATTCAATCTCTTTGTTCACACTTGAATATATTTATATTCGTAATGTTCAATAGAATAAAATCGCGTATTCCATTTGTTTTTTTAAATAATCATTTTTGTCTGAAAACACCGAAAGCTTTACCCTAGTTTTTATTTATTCATTTATTTTTTCTATTTACTGAATTTTTTTGGTTATCGTTTATCAACGATTTTCCCTCTCTCGTGGGTACAGCGTAACGAGGACAATTAGTTTAATTGGTAATAATTACTTTCGTACGCAGCAAAAGGTACACTTTGTAGATTCACCTCTTCGTCATTAAGTATTTTGCCTCGACCTCCATTTTGTTCGTAATTCAGGTAATTGTTGATTATTTGTTTTGCTCCAGAGGAGAGAGTGGAATTTTTAAAAGAATAAATCATCAGAGAAAATGTCAGAAGCTTTTTTCATGAACAACTGAGTGTAATTTTTCATCTCTAATCATTTCTCTAGTATTTTTTCTTTGACTCTGGATATTATTTAAAAAATTCCACAATATCTCCTCAATTTTCACATCTCTCTGTTCACAATTCGCCGTTTTAGGCATTTAAACACTCAAGCGAATGAAAAACATCTAAACAAAGTTAAAGTTATCAACTACACAAATACAACGATAAACAATTCGCAATAAACATTACAATAATTACAAAATCAATTACGAAGTTATTGAGTTTTAAATGTATTAATGCTGATAATTAATGCACAGGTTCAATCAATCGTCAATAACAACGATTGACGATCGATTCCGATAATAAACTACCCCTGAATGTTATTAAACAATCGGCGATAATTATTCAATGATTATTTCATAAAACTTGTCTCTCTAAATTAATTTATCGCACGATAGGAACAAAAATGGAGCGTTTTATCATTAACTTTTTATCACAATAAAAAATAAAATAAAACAATAAATAAAATTGATGAAACAGTTAAATAAATTTTTATTATTCAGATCGATTTTCAATGAGCGATCTGTTTTGTCATGTACTCAAGGTAGTTCGGTTGATTATTCACTAATTTGTGACGATTTTATCAATTAGATTGTTCACTCCATTTTTTAAATAATTAATTAATCAACTAGTAACCTAACGAGGCATGTGCGTTTGTCCGTTAAAAATATAATGCAATATGTGATGTGAAATAATTCAATAGTTCACCGGATGTCACATTAATTAACTGGGGAAGTTGTACATCTTTGGTAATTTGTTATTTATCCTCAATCAAGTGATCGACGATGTGCCATTTTTAATTAAAAATTGTACGAGATCCATTGAGTAAAAATATATTATGAGTTTAAACAAAATGACGTCAACCGCTCAGCAGTTTGTTAATTATTCGTAATTATTTTTTTAAAAAATAATTATCAATTCAATTTTGGTGAGTCTATAATAATGTGATTGATTACTCTCTTGATTATTCTGCTTAAATAGGCATTTCACTAACTAACGCTCGAATTTCAATGACTTATCAATTAAATCAGTATTAAAAAATATTAAACAATTGGGAAGCGTAAATTATTGTGGCACGTGACTGAGACTTGATTAACGTGATTATTACTTCAGAAGTACGATTTGTTCATAATTATTGATTGAATGAAAATTAAGAGGAGATAAACATTTATCGATTAATTAATTCATTCTCTCTGACTTCCTCGATTTTCAGACAAATAAAATACAAATAAAGTACAAATAAAATTGATAAAAAAATCTCAAGACTCAATTGCAATTGTCCTATACATCGTAACGGTGCTCGGTGTTTTCTTAATCTAAAAAGAATATATATATAAAAAAAAAAAGAAATGATGACAAGTACCAGTTGGCCTTGATCATCATCGAGCCAGCAATATATATAATTTAGGTACGAGGATAACGCATTTTACTTTAACACTTTCAACATCAAATCAGTGAAATTCTCATGAGAGGGCTCTTTCACTCATAAATTGTTTAAATATTTCTTGTGCCCGCACCATAGCCCAGGTGCTATCAACAATTAATTTAATCAATAAACTTCCTTCATCTAGATACTAAACACAAGCACATTATAGACATATCGACGTTTACAATAATATTTTACTCACAATTAATGTTATATTATGTTTTCCCCCTTTTTTTTTCTCATTTTTGTTGATTTTTTGTCTTCTCAATTTTGTTAAATTCTTTTAATTTAACATTCAACGTATTCATTTATCATTTTTTTTTTTGTTTATCATTACGTTAGGTAATTAGACTATAAATTAGCGATAAAAAATCACATCGAACGGGACAGCGCGATTTAATGAGGGGCCAGTTGTTCTCTCTGATAATTATTCATTAAATTTTTTTTCTGTTATGCTTTTTGTTAAGTTTTTTTTTTCTTTGTTTATAGATATACTGCATAGACTCTGTACGTCCGAAGCTCTGCTTCGTCGCTCTCACTTTATATATTTTTTTTATTTACCCATTATTTGTTGATTAATAATTAATACGCACGAGAGTTTTTCTCTTTTTGTTAATTTGGTTGGGGAACCGAGAGCCCGTGGGTTCGAGAGAAAAAACAACCGGCATTTTCTCGTGAATCCACTGGCTTGAGAATTAGAAAAAAAATTGTTGAATAATTTAAACAAATGTGTGGAAATGGCCCACAGTATATTCACAATTAATCTCTGCAATTAATCGATTTGAAAAATCATGAAAAATTGGTAGAAGGGGAAAATTTGGTTGTATTTTAAAATAAATTAATCGAAATCTCTATAATTATTTTTCCACTCGCAATCGATGTGATCGGGACGGCAATAATCCAATCTCCGTTAATTGATTGGAAAATATATTGAATTACCGCAGAGATTAATTGAAAAAGTAAAAATGAGAAATTAAGAACGAAGACTTTGGTTTGTTATTAATCTACCTAGGATCCAATCTTATCAATTTATTTATATTCTCATTCTTACGTTAATTATCAATTAAGATTCATAATTTTTAAAATGGTTTATCATCAAATTTATGCGAATAATTCTTGTTTTTGCTAAACGTAGGCCGGACTAACCGTTTCGCATCGATTTTTTTATTCTGCACCCTTTTAAGATTATTTGTTTATCAATATTCCCCATTTAATTGTTCTTTCAGTTCATTCTTCATTAAAAATGGAGGAATTCGTGGTGACGCGGTGGAATCGGCGTGAAATCTTATTTCTTTCGGATAAATTAAAGAATTAATTCCCGGAAAATTCGCAATTATCGATTGCATGATATTCCACGATTTCACAACATTCAATCAATCAATTTGATTAATTAAAAAAATCACCGCGATCGTTGAGAGTGTGAAAAATCGACGGAAACACAAGACGATTGATGAGAGAATATACAAATTGATGATAAATTTGTTCCTCATCTATCTCTACAATTTATTCTTCATCAATTACTCTTATCATTAAAATATGAATACGAAATTATCGCTTGCGCATTCCGTGAGTCCCGCACAGGCTCATGGCCCACGAAGCGAGATAATGCGATTTACTCTTATCAATTAACTAAAATTAAATAAAAATATCTTCCCATATTTAATACGACAACGATATCACAACAACAATTATCTCAGTTGATTAATCCATCGACATTCACATCAATTTCATCAGCAATTAGGGCTTTTATCGCCAGAGAATGACAATCCAATCAAAGGATTAATCACTTGTTCATTAATCTATAATTTAAAAATACTTCTCTTATCGTTTATTTAATTCACGATTCAACATTAATATTAATTATCAATTAATTAACGAATCAACTGATGAATATTTGAAAAAGAAAGATCATTAAAATCGTCAGTATTTAATTACCATCGAATTTCCCAACTCTATCAACGATTTATTAAACAAAATAATTTTTTGATAAATATAATTCAGAATGAAATTTTCAAACGATTGATCGGTACTCAATTCTCTCAAGACCGATTAATTAAGTACGAGAATCACTGGTGAAACGCCACTCAGAATTTTCCGATAGATTTCAATTAATTATTAATTATTAATCATTTGAAAAATTAATCATGAAACGAAATAAAAAAATTGATTATCTCGCCAACTGCTGCAGCTACGGGAAAGTACAAGAGAACTTTTCCGTTGAAAATTTCAAGATCTAGAAAAAATGTCTCATGACATTTTCTCTCACTCCACTCCCTCCCGAGATTTTAATAATTATAATTTGATAATTATAAATATAATTACTGCGTTTCCACTTAAATATCATCAGTAAAATTCATCGACGTTTCAATAAATATATTTGGACAATACTCCACCCAAAATACTCGAGATAATGACGTTTCGTTAATTAACAATTAATCACTGCTCTACTAAGGACGATGTGCATTAATTAATACCGAGATTCCTTAAGTCAATTGTTTTCCAATCCACTGACGTACCTAACTAGATAGAGACAACACGTAAGAGTACCTAAGTGCAAATGATTAATCACAAAGATGAGAAAAAAAAGTAATGGAAACCTCCCCTCCCCCCCAGTAATTCATTTATCGAATTTGTCCCCCTCAATCAATTAAATGAACGCTCCTCCTGTGCTCGACTACATTAGGCATTATTCTAAAATAGTTATTAAATATTTATATTATTTATAACTGATCGGAACCACCAGGGAACTGATCTCAATCATATCGAAATCATTCGATAAAATCATCTGATAAATTTCTGTTATTTCTCTATAATTTCTCCTCTTATTCAATGAAAAATCAATTTCCTGTGCTTGCACCATCTCCACCGACAAATAGTTCATTTAACTATTTGTTCAAACTGATACGTATAATTATTCGATGAATAATCGTTTAATCCCAATCTCATTGAAATTTCAGTGGATTTTTTGGTCACGTCTGATGTTTTTACTCATTTCTGTCGAAGTTTCATGGTAATTTGGACAGATGATACCTCAGTGGATAATTAATGATCATTTTTTTCGGTAGAAATGATGATTTAATCATGAAACTTCGTGAGAAACAAAAATTATTTCATTTTCCTCGTGATTTATTCGTTGAAATCAATTAATTCACTCATTTATGTCAATGAATTGATTGATTTGTCGATAATTGTATCGATGGAGTGTCAATTGGAAGAATGAAATTGGATTAAAATAATTATAGATAAGACCTTGATTACGTTCTCGGTTTTACCTGTGCATTGTCGACGTTTGTGCTCCATGGAGGTAATAATCGACGTGAGAGACGTCGACACAACGCACGAACGCATGTGACAGTCGATTGTGATTTTTCGGCGTTCGATTTATCATCGGAGGGGGATGGTAGTGCTCATTAGGGGGTGACAAGGCGATTTGGATTGAAGTCCTTATTGACGAATGAGAAACCCTTGAATTCGTCTTGATTTACTGAATTGAGGATCGACTGGTGGACTGGAGTCAGGACTGGCTCTTCTTTCGTGAATTCCGCGTCAAAATTCATCGCGTCTTTTTCATTATTCTGTAATTAAAAAATCATCATTAATTACTCTGGTGGCCCAAATAAATGGAGAAGATTTAATTGATTTAATCACTGAATTAAAAGAAAAAAGTTGAAGACAATGTTTCTAGGAAATTTCCTCAGCTAAAAAAAAAAGTCCTTTTTCACAAACATTTTTCACTAGAATGATTTGTTAATTTTGTATTTACTGAAATTTGAACAACAAAAAGGTGAATTACAATTTTAGGTTTGAAGGGTGGCTTGACCCTCCTGGCCTCGAGTGCCCTCCAGTCCATGGATTGGAAGAAAGGATGTGATTTAATGGCGCTCTCCCCTCCATTGGCGATGACACACCCCAGACGTCTGGCTGGATTTTTCGTCATGAAGCCCTTGAGGATCGAGACAGCCTCTTTACTGAGCCAAACTGGATACAACACATCATCGTGGAGGATCGACTCGAAGAGGTCGTCCTCGTTGTCAGCCTCGAATGGCGGCTGTCCAGCCATCATCTCGTACATTAGAACCCCAAGTGCCCACCAATCGACAGAGGCCCCATAATCCAATTCCTGGAGGATCTCAGGGGCAATGTAATCTGGGGTACCACAGAATGTAGTCGTGGTTTGCCCCTCGACGATGCCCTCCTTGCACATACCGAAATCAGCAAGTTTACAGTGACCCTCTCGATCCAATAAAATATTGTCCAGCTTCAAGTCACGGTAGATTACTCCGTGTTGATGGAGAAACTGGAGGGCTAACGTCACTTCTGCTGCATAAAATCGAGCTCGAATCTCATCAAATTTACGGGCTTTTTGAATTTGAAACATGAGATCACCTAAAAATTAATGTAATTTATTAAGAACCGAAGTAATTGAAAATGGAAAATCATTGGGATAGTCAGAGAGGTATCTCTCGAACTCCGAAGGTTAGGTAAAATGGCAAATAATTTTTTCATTCGAAATTTCAATAGCTAAAAAATAATAATAATTACCTCCATTAACGTATTCCATAACGAAGAACAATCTCTCAGGTGTCTGGAAGCAACTGTGGAGTGCAGTGAGGAAGGGATGCCTGGCAGCAAGTGCCAAAATTCTCTTTTCTGTCATGGTGCAGTCGACATCGTCATCCTGAATAATGACATCCTTTTTGAGGACTTTGACAGCGAATACCTCGTCAGGATTGCCCTTGCGTTCAGCCAGCATGACTTTACCAAAACTGCCCTTCCCCAGGACCTTGATAAAATTAAAATCATCCAGTGAGAATTTTCTCGTCTCATTCTCGTCCTCTCGTGGTGTCAGATCGATAAGCGGTGCCTGTTCATTCGATTGTCCACTGCTATCAATATTTCCTGATTGTGAGGACTGCTTGCCAGGGCCTGAGGTACTGTGCGAGGAACTACTTGAGGAGCTGGGCTTGTAATTAATCCGTGGAGCCTTTGACTGTTGATCTGGTGAGATGTTCAAAGTACTCAGGATCTCTGCCATTGCTTTTGTATCGATGCCACAGTTGTTGGCTACATTCTTCTGGCATCTCTTGTGGACATTTAAATCACAAACTGAAAAGACAAATGATTTCATTAATAAATCTCAGGAATTTCAAAAAATTTCACGGGAAAAAATCATTCAAAACTCTATTACAATCGTTATTTATTTCTAATTCAATTATTGTTTTCATTTTTCAGATACTCCATAAAGGGTGATTCACACAAATTGTACTGTTGAATTTGAAAAATGTTTATTACCTTTACATTGAAGTCCTTGTCGAATTAATCCATACAACAACGATCCACAATGATCGCAGAAGGTGAAACGCTTGAAAGTATGCACCTCAAATCGATGTGGTACATTAACACTGAATCTTTGTCCCTGTGTTCCTTCATTAGACTGCAACATAGTGTTCTTCTCCTGATTCGTCCCACCGTGAATTATTTTTCAAACGACAAAACGAGAAAAAAAAGAAAAGTACGAAGCACATAAAACAAAAGCATCAACACGAGCGATAACTTAAAAAAAAAAAATGATATTGCATTAAAACCGCAATGAAAAATGGTAATTATTTTATTGGTTACACCATGACGTACCTCTTCCCTCATGCCAGGACACTTTGTTACTACCAGTCTGTGACACCTCTTGTGAACAACGCACGTGCAAACTGCAAAGATATTTTTTTCATAATTATCTTGTAAAGATTCATCGACTTTTTGTTTAATTAAATTCTGGTACTTTGCACATTCAAAGCTGTTTCATGCCTTGTTAAATCGCCTCGAAAACCTCTTGAGGATAATTTCCAATATTAATTTGTTTATCTTTGTAAACAAGAAGCAAATGAAAATTCAGGAAGAATCGAGTGAAGTGGTGAATGAAAAATTTCAATGCCAGAAATTCTGTTGACAATAAAAAATTATTCTCATTGTGTTCTCCAATAAATCTCTGAAATATTTCCTCCACCACTTTACCCTGAAGATATGCATCTCCAACGAGGACATAACGAAATAAATAAACCTTGCACCTAGAAGACACTAAAAAATGAAGAAAACCGTGAATTAAAATGAAATAAACATCCCTGCAAAAGCAAATTGTTAATGCCAATGAGACAATACAAATTCAAATGCAGAATTAATAAAATGAGTAAAATAAAATGACGAATAATTTCCAAGAGCCATCTCTGCATGATAAATCATAAACAGAGAGTGAACGATAAGGATCAAACATCTCAGACTGAAGAATTAAGGAACATGAATAAATAATTCGGTTAATAACATGACTTTTGTGTCTTTCTCACCTTGACACTGATAGCCTTGCTTTCCGACGCCCCTGAAATACAACAGACAAAGCACGTCACATTATCTCCGTGATATCCCATCGAAAAAAAAAGAAAAAAAAAAAAAACACAAATGGGCCTCTCAAAAACCATTTGAGAGAAAAAGAAATACTCCAGGCACCCCAAATCCTCTGTTTATCCTCGCTGATTTATTCATCTGTACCCAATTGAATTCGAGAGCCCAAAGCGTGCAAATGGAGGCTGAATTACAGAATTGTATAAATTTTAGGCACAAAACCACATGCAATTCTCCAAGAATTATCGATTATTCCATGGATTCCGAGACAAGTATACCTCCTGATCACTTCGTCACCCGATTATTCATTATTTATCCCATAAAACGTGCGATATCCTCAAATTTATCCCCAAGCGGTGCAATTTCTGCGATAAGATTTGTGACGAATCATTGGAAATTGTCGAATTACTATTTTAAAATAAATCCAAAACCGTAGGACCCGTGTGGTTATTTAACTGGTTAATACTCACCAAATAAATTCACGGCAGTGTGAGCAGAATGTCGGTTGCCTGAGGAAAGTCGCCATAAATTTGTGCCCATTGACCTGATGAACTCGCCTACGCATAGCACCTCTACGTCGATTAAAGCCCTGTCCACGTTCAGTGAATCCACGTGGTTCCATACTACCTGTCACAGCACCGCTGTCTTTTCCACCACCCGATCCAATATTTTCTCCTGCTGCATCTCCACTGCAGCCAGCTTGTTGATCTGAAATATCAAATTGATATGACAAATAAGAAATTATTAGATAAATCGTGTGAAAATTTTTGATAAATCCTCGAATAGGAATTGGATAGGAACTGATACCTTGGTTGCTCCATTTCAAATCTATCTGGACCCTCAATTTCCCATGTGGCTCGAGGTCGATCTAAAATTAAATCCATCAGTATTAGCCTTCTGAGATAAGAAATCACACGTGAGAAGTCATTAAAAATCACTGTCTTCCTAATTCAGTCTCACCAGAGTATCTTTCGGATAATAAAATGCTGTCTTTGCTAGGGTCTGGTGATGAATGTCCACCAATCGTTTGAAACACTTTACACAACCGTAATTTCTATGGGTATGCAGCATTTTGGTTCATTTAAATCTGGGCAAAATGGTGGGATGGAATTTTTACTTAATTCTCTGCTATTTGCTGCTCAGTATTAATATTTTTCAATCTTTTCATTCCAGGGAATTTAAATTGTCTGGCTGTTTGTAAGATTGGAACTTCCCTCATTTCTCCCTCGAATTTTAAATAACAAAAATTACTTTCGTTGCAGAAGAAGCTGTGAATTTCTGTTGAATTAATTGGTTAATCTGATCGATAGAAAAAACGGAGTAATACACAACACTAAATAATAAAATCATCCTTAAAATCCGAAAATTCTCCGAAACTCATAATTAAAACGCAATTAACTGGTGACTTCTGCAACGAACCCGCACGTCGTACGACTAAAAACTGAGTGACACTCCAAAATGGTAGTCATCCAGCAGTTTAATTGGCCTCGAAAATCCCTGTGTACACCTGGAGATAACGTTCAGGTGTGCCTTAAAACGTCTTATCTTGAACATCTGCTGATGATCAATTCCTTAATTATCCAATTACCCATTAACGACAAAAATAAACTAGAAAAATTCCAGGGGAAAATATCAGAGGGCATTTTTTAATAGTTACCCTGATGTGCAAAAAATCCTGAAAATTACCCAATCGTGGTTGAAATGAGAACAATGAGTGGGTGACTCATTTGCAATAAAATAAAATCCATGTGTACACCCTGAGATAACGTTGTTACGAGTCTTATCCCTACTCTCGTGGGCATCTGGTCGTTATCAGTTCCCTATCTTCTGTTTTACGTCAGTTATGTCATCTTTACGAGGGAGTGGAGGAGTGCCGGAGTGAATGAATAGTCTGTTGGGGCAGTTCATGACCAGCTGGTGACGTGTGAGGGTCTCCAGGAAGTTATCAAACTTTTTTTCAAACTATTATATCAAATTGATAGTGAATAATTCAGTAGTAAAGGCTAAAGGATAACTAGCAGACTTCTCTGCTTGAGTTTTTGTAGGATATCTCTGAATCTGAGAGACATACAAACATTTTTTATAGGACCTCTTTTTTAGAATGTGACGAGAGGTACAACAAAGGTCCTCATGAAAATTCCCTTATCTATCTCAAATTCCGAGATATTTCTTCAAAAGCCTCCTGTTAGGTGAATCTACTCGTTACTCTTTACCACTTTTTCTGCGGTCGACCTTTCGAGGAATATCTCAGAACCTAAGCAATGCAGCGAAATATTTGTCATTACCTTTTCTGTAGAATGGAAGGAGAGCTATAAAAAAGGTGCTCATGAAAATTCCGCCATCTCTCTCAGATTCCGAGATATTCCATCAAAAGTTGTTCATCAAAACCAAATTGCTATTCATCTAGAATTAACGAAGTAGATTAATTTGTCGTTAATAAATCATTGGATGAATCTCGTCGATGTGGATATCGATGCTGTGGGTAGCACTTGAGATATATTTTTTCGAGATTTGTACGATTCCCGATAAAATCATCTGGCGTTTTCCCACTCATTCCCAAAATAAACCCATAAACACAAGTTGTTACGTTTAACAACGTTGTCAAAACTATTCATAAAATTTACCCAGAAATCAGCAGTTTCGTCCTCACGTCTTACAAGCTCTTCAAATGGAATTCTACAATTAGCAACAAAGTCATCAGGTGGTAGTGCAGCATCATGGAATACAGTGAGTCCCAGCATCACAGCTGACTGTACATCATGAGCGAAACACTCATTCCAGACAGGATCGAAGGTTTTTGGTTTAATTGATGTGCGATTGAGACGATTCTGGTCGACATCCAGGAGAACATAGGGATCGATTATCGGTGGTGCATCCTGCCAGAACTTGCGGTGTTTGTCAGTCGCCCTGAGACCCGCTGCCTCGCATATCTTCACTTTCACTGTTCCGGTGAACATTTCAGCGATTCAACTCCTGGAAATTGACATGAATGAGTCAATTATCAAGATGGAGAAATTGTTCAAGTTATTTGGTCACTCTGAGGGAATGAGGAAGTCCTTCGAGCGAATAAAAAGTTGTTTGTCGTTGATTCATCGAAATAACTTTAGTGTGAGAGAACAACTAGCGGATCTTATTACACATATTTGGAGAAATTGTCGCAGAGATAATTATTATTGGTTTTTTTCACATCCAAAAATATCTTACGTCAGCTCTTATGTTAACCCGTGGCTGCTTCTGGTGGAGGTCTCCGTCGTCTCTCTGTTATCACTGTGTAATTAAAAAATATATGAACTTTTGAATAATATAATAATCACTGCCGGGCCTACCCCACAGTCACTCGTGATTCCAAGAGCCCCAAAGCCGAAAAAAAAAAGTTATTATAAAGTTGAAATTAGCAGATTTATTCTCAAGCCATTCTTTTGCTATTAGAAATTATTTGTACGTGGGATTGGTCTATCTTCAAGCTTTTTTTAATCTATAACGAAATTTCTGCTTGAATTTCACTAGTTTCACCTTCGTATCCTAATAATTTTTTTGAGAGACAGAAACAGATCTGCATATAAATCTCCTGAGAATTGAACAGATGAAATAATTAATACGTAATTACCACAATCAATACATGAGAAATAATTACGAATTATAAAGAATACCGAATGAGATTTCGTTTTTCCACAATTGTTAAATTTAAAATCTACTTTCGTGGGGACAATTCATGGTTTCAGTCGCCAAATAGATGAAAAATATCCCAGGATATCCTGGTAATTTTCAATAAACGATTTGTTCGATTCTCTCAAGATTTCTTCGAGAAGATATTAAAAGAGATTAATTGTCTCTCAACATCTCCAGGTTGTGGAACCTGGAGACCATCTCCAGCACTTGATTGGACCAAATCACCAATTCAGAACTGAAAAAGATAAATTCCTGACGATGAATTAGCCCCAGAACCGAGAACCAGTGCCTCCACGAGTACGAGGAGACATTTTCAGGATAATATTCTCGCGACGAGAAAAAAACGTGAAACGAGGAGAATAACGCGGATATCTCGCCACAAAAAGGCATCCCCATTACCTAAAAAAATGTTCACACGTCCATCCAACCGACCACCATCCACTCGTTTATACATAAACACTTATGACCAGATCAGAACGTTCATGACAGAAAAGGAAACGGAAGCGCGAGCGCAGAGAGTAACTCAACGAGTGCGACAGAGAGATAACGATAGGAAAGAGAAGAGGGCCTTGGCCGAATGTATTTTAATTTCCATTACGAGTATCTTCTCATCAATGACAGATACCCCCAACATTCAAAAAAAAGAAATCCCATTGAAAAATGAGAAAAATTCAACTGACGTACACAACGACTACAGGAGAATATCTCACGCTGCGACGACCACTGACAGCCATTAATATCCACCAATTAATTTTAACTTGTATTCCTCAAAATTGGGCGGAGGATTTGGAAATAATTGATAAAGCACACGTTCCACTGGGGCCCCTTTTTCCTTTTTTTCTCCCCGATTTTTATTATTTTTATTTGTTTTTTGGTGATTCGATTTGGTGGGGCTTGTGCGCGCGACGAAGTTGCCCCTTTGACTGAGAGAGAACAACTCCCTTCCCCTTTCGCCACCATTCGATTGGTCGAAGGCAGATATAGAATTATGGGGGCGGTGGGGGGGTGACGTGGCTACGGGTGGTGGGTGGTGGTGGGTGGTGGGTGGTGGGCGGCTGGGGGACTCTCTGTTCTGTTCTGGTCTGTTATCCCCAGTTATTCCCTCGTCTCTGTCTTTGTTGGGGCTATTTTTGAGGGATTGCTCTGTTGATGGGGGTGGGGACAAGGTTACCGGTTTATCGGGTTTTCCGGGGGTGGGGGGGCTCAGTCGGTAAGGCAGGGCCGTTCGAGGGCTTCGAGGGATCGAATCGAATCCAACGGATTCGAATTTTCATTTTTTTCTTTTTTTAATTTGTTGTTGATAATCGATTTCTCGAGTTGACGATCGAAGAGATTATCGAACCGAAGCCGGTCGATGAATAATAATTATTAAAAAATCGTATTTGTTGGAATAAGGAAGGGTTTTTTTATTTTTTTACAATTTGATTGATTGATTCTTTATTTGTAAAGGATTTGTTATCAATTATCGGTATTATATCGTTAGGATAGGTGATTTGATTGTTTTTCTTTATTTTTTTTAAATATTTAAAATATTTTTTAGATAATGGTGATGGGCTGAAAATTCCTGTCGATATATCAGGGATCTTCAAAAACAGATGTAGTGGGGGAGGACTTGAGGTCATCATCAGCTGATTTTTGGAACAAGACGACAGGATTGGGACGCAGGGGAAGATGGCGAAACTCCGGCATGTCGTGTGGGAATTATCATCGAATTTCTCCTCGAATCAATACTTTTCAAAATTATTATCGTGAGTTTTATTATTTATATTTATTATCGTATTTGGACGGAGTTTAGGACTTGGTGAGATCGTGATGACATTCTCTGCATTCCACAACACCAGACCAAACAATTTATCTCTAAATTTGAAAAACATCTGTGAATTTCAATTTTTTAATTCAGAATTTTTATTGTTCTTCATAAATAAATCATTAGATTCATTTAAAACATTGGGAATTTCATCATTCTCCATTTAATTTGATCTGAAATTTTTTTTCAAAGAAAAAATATGCATGTTATTGTTAAAAAAATGTGAAATAGTCTTTCCTTCTGCGTTTCGTGTTTTGCTTTTTAGATCCAATTCCTTTTGTATTTATTTACAGACCTCCTTGGTGTCAACTTTCGTTGCAGAACGGAAATCTCCGGAAAGTGGCAACGAATGCAGCGGAGAATGTCTCTGAGGACGCCCTGATCATCAGTGACAGCTGCGTCAAGAGATTAAAGGAGATATCCCAGGATGGAGCCTGTTTGCGAGTGACTGTCGAGGGTGGAGGATGCTCCGGATTCCAGTACAAATTTGATTTGGACTCCACAGTCCACGACGATGACAAGTAATTAAATAATCATAAAATCATAAAGAGTAGTTCATTAAATAAAATGCAGCAAGTCTATCCTTCGAGGAATATCGCCGAATCGAGATAGCGACTTTTTTCTCAAAATTTCCGAGCCTCATTTTATTTCTCCACTCATTCGCCGCTCTCGCCAAAAATAAAAAGTTAAATTGATTCCATTCCAGAGTTTTTCTAAAGGACGGAGCCAAGATCATAATAGACTCCACCTCCCTAGAGTACGTAAAAGGCTCAACGATTGATTTTCATTCGGAATTAATCCGCTCTGCCTTCAGAATAATAAATAATCCGCTGGCTGAACAGGGCTGCAGCTGTGGTGCAAGTTTTTCTATAAAGGTCGATTAACATTAAATACTAATAACTGTTAAATTCGAGTAGTTGTACATTACAGTATATATTTTTTTAAATGTTTATCAAAGCTTACGATACTCGTCAATTTGTGGGATCACGCTGTATTTTAAATAATTTACTTTGACTCCACAGTCCCAACAGTTCATCGATAATTTATCAGTGTAAATATTCGTTATTATTAAAAATGTGAGACAGATTGAAGTAACGAAGTGATGATTTTTACTGGCCATCGGATTAAAATGAAAATTGAGTTTATTTTTCTTTTCATCGATTTTTTGTCAATTCATAAATTCATTACCATCGATTTTATCTTTCCGTATTTACATTGAATTGTTGATTATTAGCTTAATCCATGGAATGTTTAATTGCTGGAGATTAGTGGCAGTTGGCATCACTTTTGCCTTCCTTTTTTGCCATTCTGAAAAAATGATTAATGTTGACATTAATTCGATGAAAATTGAAATTTATTTGTGCAATAATTTTGGTTAATGGTAAATTAGAAGAGGAAAACAATTGTGATGAGTGAATTGGAGTTAATTTATGAATGTCTAGATATTAAAGATAAGATAATATGAAGACCAAATAAAAAATGAATATAAAAGTTGAATAACAGATAAATATTGGTTTTTATCACCTTATGCTCGAGTTCATATCGCAATTGCTGGATCTCCTCGGTCTGCTGAATGAGTTTTTCATTCATATTAGCCAAATGTTCAGTCATAGTGCTCAACTGAGCTTTGTAACTGCCCTCCTGGACTTCTTTATCCTCCTGAGAACTATTCCAGTTAGATAAAGCCTCCAGCAATGCAGCCTCGCACTTCTCCCTCTTCTCCTCGCTGTTGTCCAGATGCACACTCATAACTTCATTCTAAAAATAAAAATTAATGTTAAATTATTTCTAAAACTTGATTGATCTCGTAATTGAGGCTCCAGGTGAAAATGTTAGAAGACTTTTTTGGGGGGAATTTAAATATTTTCGAAAAGTTCCTTCAGTTTTTCGTCGTGGAACTATTTTTTAGAGAGATCATAACGATTACTCACATTAGCTGCTATGGCAAGATTCTTAGCATGACAGATGTGTTTTTCATTAACCAATCTCTCGATTTCGCGCAGGAAATAATCACGGATTTTCGTTTCTCTAGCTTCGATCTCTTCGGATATTGCGAACGGTGCCTTTAGCCTTCCAATCTGTAAATAAAATATTTTTGTGAATTAGTTAACTCTAAAAAGGAGTTTATCTATTTTAAATTGAATTTCTTACTCCCTCCAAAGAATATTCAACCAATTAAATTAATGGTTTATTAGAATGTCAAAACATTTCAAATAAATTGAATATCTCAATCTGGATTAAATATCGATAAACCTCGAAAACTATTGACTTTACGAGAAAATGTTAGAGAACATTAGATAAACCAGATAAATAAGGAATAAAAGAAATGTTTTGAAGACATTCTTTTCCATTATTCTTCCACTGGATATTACAAATTCTCTAAAAAAACATTGATTGCAGATCTAGAAACTCACCATATTGTTAATCTCTACAGGTTCCAGCTGCACACCGACCCCATAAATCTCCTTCTGGCAAATCTCATCATATTTAATCTTCAGGATATTATAATCACTCTTGTACTGATTCAACTCCTTCTCGAGATCGCATAATTTCACAAACTCAAATTCATTACTGTCCTCATTAACATGAAAATCCGGAGTTTTCTGGACTCGCGCATCCCCCAGGGACTTGGAGGACCTCCTGGAGCCAGAAGGGGATGAAAATGGAGAATGCCCCTCCTGACGATGATTCATACCCACTTTCAAATCATAATCGTATTTTCCTTCGACACTGGACCAAGACGCTGTCTCCTCGTGCTTCTGACGCTCGTTTATTTTCCTCTGGAGTTCATTCCTCTCCCTCTCGAGTCTCTCGATTCTCTCCTGAGACCTGGCATCAGAATCCAACCTAGATTTCTCAGACAAGTCCAACCTGTATTCCAAGTGTTTGATCCTGTCGTTAATCTCCTCTATCTCATTGTCTTTATCTGATATCTGGGATAACAGCTGAGCATTCTCGACTATTTTCTTCTGGAATTCTTCGACGTAGACGTGATTGGGGGCGGGTGGTGGCAGCTCCTTGTTCTCTACAGATTTGCTCCGGCCTTTTTTCGATTTATTCTGGAGTTTGTCGAGCTCCTCTTGCAACACTGTCACTCTCTTTGTCAGCTGTTGATTCCGAAAGGTCAGACTGTCCAGCTCTTGCTCCTGTCTGCGAAGGGACACGTCTCTCGATTTTATCTGCTCCTTCAGGTCACTGCTGCGAGTTTGTTCATCTATCACAGCCTTTTTCAGGACGCTTGCTTGAGCTCGAATCTTTTTCAATATGTTAATAAGTTTTAGAATAATTAATTAGTATAAAAAATAATATTTCATGCATTATATACAAAGTGGGAGAATTTTTAAATTTTTTTCTTGACAAAAATTCTCAAAACTTTTACCTTCCCCTTCTCCCCAATTAATTACCACAATTACCCACCTTGGAGTACTCCGTCGCGACCTTCTGGTACTTCATTTGCAATTGTTGTCCATTGACACTCTCCATCTCCCCAGTTCCACCTCGATAATCAATCACCCTAAATTAATTATTGCACTCTCCAACAAAATGAGACCGAGTATTTCCTGTCATATCCACGCTCCCCTATCGCCTCTCAGGATCCTATTGAAAAGAAAGCCCCAGGAAATTCCTCTGAAAAATGGAAAACTCCATTAATTCACCCCTTCAATTTATCCATCCAACAACAAAAAATGTTGAAGAAAAAAATATTACAGAATTGTTGCTCCCAAGTTATCGAAAACACGCCCCCAGATTCACTGCCAACAGCTTCAATACTTCATGCCCCCCCAGTGTCTGGACATCCTCCAGATAAAAAAATGACGCACTGAATTTTAAATAAACACTAAATAAATATTAACAATAGTGTGGGGGTGCTATCACTTCTCAACTCGGAATTCATCTCCTTTTTTTTCTTTTATTCTTTTTCGGTGGAGGAGAGGAACGAACGACTGGCGCCATCCGACAAAAAACTTCATCAATAATAGTTCTAACCCAGAACTATTATTGATATAGTATACCTAAATAGTATTACTATACTGGGGTGTCCATCCAGTCGATGGGGTGAATTTTATTTTCTGTTGTACGAATGCTTTTTGTTTTTCATTTGTTTAACTGAAATTTAGCCGACTGTCGCACGTATGGAAGGGGGAAACCACATCTTGTGGAATTTCAATGGAAAAAATTATTCAATGTATTGAATATATACCACTAATGAATTTATATTTTTAAATGAGCG